AACAGTGCTAGAGATCCAACCCCCTGCTCAGGCAGGAAACCCAGTACCATTTCAATATCTCTGTGTATTAGTAAAGTTAATCAATACTGGATCATTCAATAAACCATGTTTAAATAAACCAGTTTAGCACGGGTGGGCACAACTGAGTTCTGTGGACCACTTGTATGGCAGGCCTCCCATACTCAAATGCCATTGCTTTCCAGAATCTGCTAGCAAGTTTTAACTTTGAATGTGACTAAAGAGAAGATGACTGAATCTATATGGGCTGAATTATCTTACTTATTTTGACATAATTTTAATTGGATTTCTATTGTTAAAATTAGTTTTCGTCCTGGCCATGCCACTTTTTTAAGCATGCATGATTCCTGAAGGGTAAGTGTGGCCCTCAAAATGACATATCTATAGCTTAGCAAGATGTATAACAGGGGTCCCCAAACTTGGCAGCTTGAAGACTTGTGGACTTCAACTCCCAGAATTGGGAGTTGAAGTCCGCAAGTCTTAAAGCTGCCAAGTTTGAAGACCTCTGATGTATAACAAGCTAGGTATACCTTATTTGTAGGTCATTACAGGTAGTCCTCAACTTAAGACCACAATGGAGCCCAAAATTTATGTTGCTAAGTGAGAAATCTGTTAAGTGAGTTTTGCCCCATTTTACAATGTTTTTTGCCAGATTTGTTCCGTCTCCCCCACACTCCCTGGCTAGCCCGCAGAGGAGAACTACAATGCTGATCCAGCCCACAAAGAAATCCAGTTTGATACCCCTGTCTTACATGAACCAAGATGTGTTTTGAAATGTGCACTTTCTTAAATAAGTTCACTGGGAAGTGATGCTAATGGGACCAGCCGGATTAGACGTACCCTCCAGCCATTGGCAAAAGATCATGTGTGCAGGAGTATATTGCTGGGGGTCACATATTAACTCCCCTTTGCAGAGCCCCCAACAATCTTTCCCCCATCTCTTTATGTATCCAGAACTCCTGTATGTAGGGATGATGGGAGATACAGGTTTCCAATCAATCATACACAGCAGCAGCAAATACTTAGAGCCCCTTCACACACTATTTCAGTGTGAACCTCTACATTGACTGTATGCACACAATACACCAGATGACAAGCTAGCTAATCACGTTAGCCTAGCATGTTGTGGTTAATTTATAGCTCAAATTGGGCTGAGCAACACAATGGCTCCTGTTGAGCAAGCATGTCATTCTCATGCTTTCAACTTGTATGAGAATTGAAAGAGAGAAGGAAGGCCTAGGTTCAAAACCAATGTTAGGCCTATTGATTGGTTGGTTGATTAATTATGCCTAGTCTTTCCTTGGTATCTATCAGCCTTCTGTGTCATCTTTTAGCTTCGTCTGTCTTTTAGGATTGATGACAGGCAAAGATAATTATATTACTCTTACTTTCTTTCTTTTTTTAAACAATGGTAGAATTTTTTAAAAATGTAATAAATCAACACATTTTATTTAAAATGTGTTTATTTAAAATTTATTTTAAAATATAATAAATCAACACATGCTGCTAAATGTGCTAGTTGCATTTTGTTAGAGTGACAAGGAAAAACAAAACAACAGAAAACTATGCCTGGCAGCAGGCAAAGCAGATTTATAAGTTAATAGTGATAATTCACTCTATTACAGGCCATACTGTATGCAGAATGTTTTTACCAACTGGTGGAAACATCTATGCCAAAAGCTTTCAAAACCGTAAAAGAATTAGGTTTACAACTACTGTAAGCAGAATGCAGCTATTAATCGTGGGGGCACCCTTTATTTAAATACTAGTATATTTTTAAATATTTGGATTAGCTTTTAGCTACATTATCCCAGCAAACCAAGACATTTAAAAATTACTACTGCTGATCTAGTTATTTATTTATTATATTTGTTAGCTGCCTCAATCAAGCTGATTTCAGGATTTCAAGCACTGTTGTGATTAAAAAGACAATGGAATATTTAAGGGAAAGCCATTCTGATCTTAATTACAGGCATGATTCAGCAGTAAACACCTTCTAAAACTCTGGAAGAGTGACGGCTCCACTCCTGTGTTCACTCATCTGGGAGGAAACACCATGTAATTAACGGTCCTTTTGAGCATGAATATGTAAATTGCCCACAACGTAGGGATAAATTAAGACTGGAATCAGGGGAACAAGAAAGAAAAAAAAAATAAGAGAATCCCCCTACACAAACACGCATTACACATGCTCGGAGGAAAAAGAGGCATTCACACAGGGAGAATGATTTGAGAAAACCATTTTGACTCTTATCTCCCAGTGACTAGAAGAAACAGCCAAAGAAATAAAAACAAATTACATTTGTGGAGTGTGGGGTGAAGGGCTGAAAATCCCAACTGTGTTTGTTTGGTGTAGAATTTGGGAAGCAAAGCATCAGCACTTATGAACAGTATCATGATACGGAGCACAGATAATCCCAGGAAAACAATCTTCTCGCATCATTCTACATTCTAGACACGTCCTGAGATTAGAACTACTGGAATTGCCAACAGCACACTACGAGATAGACATTCAAGGCAACCTTTAGCAGCTCGTCCTTTTCCATCTAATATTTATTCGAAGTTATTACGATTTGCAAATTGGGTGGGGGAGAAAAAGCCTGTTCAAAGATGTGGCAATCAGATCATCACATGGAAGGGTGCAATGGTTAGAATGCAGCATTGCAGGCTGACTCTGCCGACTGACAGCAGTTCGATCCTGACCGGCTCAAGGTCGACTCAGCCTTCCATCCTTCCGAGGTCGGTAAAATGAGGACCCAGATTGTTGAGGGCAATAGGCTGACCCTGTAAGCTGCTTAGAGAAGGCTGTAAAGCACTGTGAAGCAGTATATAAGTCTAAGTGCTGTTGCTACTGCTAAGGGAGGCAGAATGCAGAAAGGGTCAGCAGCCATTATGAATCATAGAAACATAGCAAAACCGGCAAGACCGAGTGGCTCTGGGTTTGGGGTTCGCTGGCTCAGGGAGAATTGCCACCTTTGGTCTTGGATAGAGTGGCATTATCCCAAACAGATCCTGTGCGTAATCTGGGGGTTCTCCTGGACTCACAACTCCTGCTCAAAGAGCAGGTGGCGGTTGTGGCCGGGAGGGTCTTTGTGCGGGTTATGCACCAGTTACGCCCTAGACCAACAATCCCTACTCACTAGCCACTTCCTGTCTTGACTACTGCAATGCGCTCTACATGGGGCTACCCTTATAAAAGCTCCAGTTCGTGCAAAATGCAGCATGGTTTTGTACAGACCTGCTGTGCACATGTACCACCTCTCCTGCGGGAGCTGCATTGGCTGCCGATTTGCTTCCGGGTGCAATTTAAGGTGCTGGTTGTCACCTTTAAAGCCCTTCATGGCTTGGGACCAGGTTATCTGAGGAACTGTCTCTTGCTGGTCACATCTACCTGACCCATCAGACAGGGGAGGCAGGGAATGTTGCGAGTCCCATCCCCTAGGGCCATGATGGCAAACCTATGGCATGCATGCCAGAGGTGGCACGCAGAGCTCTCTATGTGGGCATGTGTGCCGTCGCGAGCTGCTCTTCTGGTCTCCAGCGCGCACATGCGCGTGGACAGCTGGTCTTCAGGGGCACCAGAGCACTGGAAAATGGCCCAAGGAACGGCCAAGGAACAGGCATGCGTGCACCAGCCAGATGTTCTTCGGGTTTCTGGTGCTCTGGCGCGCTCAAAGACAGCTGGCCAGCACGTGCATGCACACCAGCCAGCTGGTCTGCACATGCACGCACATTCCGGTGCCGAAAAGGTTCGCCATCACTGCCCTAGGGAGGTACACCTGATGGGACCCAGAAGAAGGGCCTTCTCCGTGGTGGCCCCCTCTCTCTGGAACACCATTCTCCCAGAGATTAGAATGGCCCCCACTCGAACGCTCTTCCGGAAGGCGCTGAAGACCTGGTTCTGCCAGCGGGATGGAGCCCATTAAACGGCTTGTGTTATCTGCTGTTCCCAGGGTGGAGGGTGGGTGATTTTATTATATTATATTAGTTTTATTGTTTTAAATGAGGTTTTATATTCTGTAAAATGCCTTGAGTCGCCGTGTGTGAATAGGTGGCAATATACATACAATAAATAATAATACTAAAACTGTGAGAGAAACGTCCTAGTTGTTCAGTATTTTGTCATGCTCATCTGAGGAAGTTTTAAGACAATGGCCTGCCAGATGCTGAACATCTTGGCTGAGGGTTTATTTATTTATTTATTTATTTATTTTTCATAGTTCTAACCACCCATCTCTTTTAAAGATTTTCCCAAGACAATTGATAGGTAGTACTGAGCTACAGGATGTCTCCCTCTTCCCCTCCGAGTATTAATCATGATTTAGCATTATGTTTGTTTTATTAAATTATGACTTTTATGAATTATGACTTCATTATCACTGAAACTAGCAATTAGACACGAACAAAAATTGGATTTGCTCATTTACAAATCCTAATTAAGAAAGAGATTGGTTAGGATCACAAAAGACAGGATACAAATGACAGAAGCCCAACAGAAGAATGCGTAGGAGGAAAAATAATTGTGAATTATCCTCTTCTCGTACCTTCTTCAAACAGCATTTAGCATAACCTGTCCCAATCTTAAGACTCCATGTGTGATTGTAATGCAACTGTCATTATCTTGATTATGTTAGGGACTTTGATAGATGCTAATCATAATTAGCGACACAGGTATAATACCATCCATAAAGGAAATTTGCAAATTCAGGGGGAAAGGAATGGGACAGGAACTCACACTTAATCTGAGCTCACAAATTATGCTAAACCATAATTATTTTTAGATGCAAAAGCCTGGTTTTCCTAACACTAGGGTGCAAGTATTATAAGTGGGAGTGGCTGGGTTCAAACATTTTATTAAGCTAAAACCTAAAAAACAAAATTATCATTTAGTGAAAGGCGTACGCCTAGCGTATAATCTCCCCTGGATCACCCACTGCCTAAAACACATTTTCCCTTCTCAATTGGTTTGCACCTGCACTTACCTGCTGGTGCTGCCGGGCTCCATCTGTGATCGACTTGACAACTACCTCAATTAATTGTTTGCACATCATCTGTCAGGAAACAAAAGACTGGCAATTAATAGGTTTGAACCATATTTGGAAATCTACTCTGCAAATAGACAACAAAAACTCCCTTAAAAATACCCGCATACAGTTCAATTGATAAAGAGATGTCGATCAGACAAAAGGAAGAAGGTAATTAGTAGAACTCGCTGTCACAACATGAGGTGGAAGGGGATTTTAAAAGCGGATTAGGCAAATTTGTAGCAGAAGCGATCAATATTATTAAGTGGGATGGCACCTACATCCCCTACGTTCAGAGATATTGCCTCTGAATACTAATTCCGAATACCATTTCTGAGCAGACAACTATTGGAGAAGACTGTTTCCTTCATGTACTATTTATATCCTGTGAGAAACAGGATGCTGCATTAAAAAGTTATTCTTCTCTGCTTCTATTGACATCACAGGCATTGTCCAGTACCTGCTTCTGATACTTTTGCCACAACGTCCATGTGCCACTATGTGCCACAATGCCAGAAGAAGGAACCCTGCAAGTAAAATCAGCTCCATCGTAGATCAGTCCAGAGGTGCACAACTATGGTAAATTTACAACTTATGGACTCCAATTCCCAGAATTCCTGAGCTGGCCATGCAGGCTCAGGAATTCTGGGAGTTGAAGTCCTCAGGTCATAAAGTTGCCACAGTTACCCACCCCTGAATAACTGATAAATGTCCTGTATGGGCTCCCTTGAAATGTGTTAGCTACAGCTCTCAAAATTTTCAGCCAATGTGGGAATTTGGGGGGAGGGGGGGTGTTGAAGCCCCAATACACTTCAAAGTTACCATCCTAGAGAAGATTAATTGAGATATGGAAGACTACTCTTTGGTCAAAACAAAACAAAAAACGCCTTTCCTTTGAGGGAGGATACTTTCCTCACATGCATCTGATGGGCAACAAATAAACATGCATTTACCAAGGTCAATACAGGTAGTTCTCATTTAACAACTGTTTGAAATTATAATAGCAATGGATAAAGTAACTTTTATGGCCAGTCCTCACACTTACAACTGTTGCAGCATTGATCACGGTCAGGTGATCAAGATTTGGATGTGTTGTGACCCAGGCCCAAGTAAGTAGTAGGAAAATCAATCAGTGAAAAAACAAACAAACTTTATTCGAACAGCTGAGAATTACTTCATTCCCAGCGTTGTTCAATTAAATTAAAGCAAATTCCTCCCAACACAAATTCCTCAGTCCTATCGCAAACCTGGTCCAATTAGGCAAACTGCCAAAGGCCTTTCTTGGCAAACGTTCAGAAGTCACAGATACAAAAATAAATACAAGATGTAGACGAAGAAGAAGATGAAGCTACCAATGTTGTTTTCCGGCAGAGCCCAAACGCCATTGCTGGTCTGTTTTAAGCCTTATGGGAGGGGCCAATCATCTCTTGGCCCTACTCCTGAGTTGTCCTCTTTGCTTGAACTGCTCTTGCCTTCTGGCAGCTCTTCTCATGCGTGCATTAAGAACAGGTTCCTCCTGTTCCTCTGTCTCACTCCTATCAGTCTCTGGAAGCTCTGGAGTCAGCACCTCACTCCCCGATGGCCCTGGCCCCATCTCTGCCTCTGATGCAGAGCCCTCATCCGGGCCTTCCCCAGCCTCCAGGACTGGCCCATGTTCTTCCTCAGCCTCATTGCTATCCGACTCTGCTGCCAGCTCCACAGGCTGCTGGTGGACCACAACAGGATGCTTCACAATCAGAAGGTATTTATAAACATAGTGGCAACTCACAGTTACATGATGACCAACTACGTGCTTCACAGTTGGCTTCTGACAAGGGAGAAGACGGCAATAAAACTGCAAATCATGGTGATACAATGTCTTGCTTAATGACTGCGGGTGATTTGCTTAACAACTGAAATGGAAATGAGGTTCTTTTCCCACCGCAATCACACTGATGTCTCTCTTAACAAACACGTCACTTCGTGATGAAGTTGCCAAACTTGATTATGGTTATTAAGCGAAGACAACCTGTAATACCCTGTTTCCCCTAAAATAAGACACCCCCTGATAATAACCCCAATCAGGCTTTTGAGCGCATGTGCTAAAATAAGCCCCCTCCCCCAAATAAGCTCTCCCCGAAAATATTTAAACGCACGCGCAGCTGGTCCCCACCATTTCCTCTGATTAGGGTTAGGGAGACAGAGCTGGAAATCAGATAAGATGGCAAGAGGATCTTGCTCCACACACCCCAAAATAATAAGACATCCCTGAAAATAAGGCCAAGCACTTACAGTATTTCGGGGGTTCAAAAAAATATAAGACAGGGTCTTATTTTCGGGGAAACACAGTAGTGATGTGGAAAATGGGAAAGTGAGGCATATCACCTACCGGATGGCGTTCAAACAAGTCAAGAAACATGGCTCCCGTCAGCGGGCTCTTGCGTTTGGTCAGAAACAAGTTCAAAGCTTCCTTGTACACGGCAGTCACCCGTTGCAGATCCACACTGCCAAGATCAATACGCTAGAAAGGTAAAAAAAGGCGAAGGATGAAATATTTTGCAAATCAACTATCTTTACCGCAATTCAATAGTTCCTAAGAATAGCTCTTGCGCAAGATGTGACACAAAGGCAGGAAATAAAATTATGATTTACAGGTAGGCTTGCCTGTAAATGTGCGAAAACAGGGAATGCATATCGAAGTCACAGGTTTCAAAAAATTGTTAGAAAGAAGCAGACTGGATCTCACATGGGTCTGAGGGGGAAAATATAAGCCGCGGCTTTAATGAATCATCTCATTGAATTAATAAGACTTTTAAATCAATGGCACCTTTTGGAGGTTTGCACAGAAGCCTGAAATCAATGATTTGATAAATAACACCAAAGTGCCAAGCACATGCAAAACCCAAAACACTTCCAAATAATTTTTTAATGCCTGCACAGCTCTACTCCAGACATGCATATAAAAACACGCACGGATACATATGGGTAGCTCCCAAGTTAAAAGCAGCAATTGGCACCGGAATTTTTGCTGCTAAGCCGTACAGTCATAAAGCATAACTGCAACAGGACCAACCACCGTCATTAACTGAACTGCAGCAGTTGCAAGCAGTCCTGGTAACTTCCTTCCCATCTGAGCTCCCTCTGACAGCCAAAATCAGTTTGCAAAAAAAGAAAAAAGCAGTCTGTCAATCAAGTAAGTAGCTGCTGTCCGATGAGGATGGGTTGTGCAGCAGAGTGCTAGTGACTAAGGCAGCACAAGTGCAGCAAAGCTTGAGGTGACTGATACTGGGTGGAAGTAAATGCAACGAACCGGTGCAGGACAAGGGCCGTGAGGCATGGGGTAGTTGCTGCTTGGTGGGGTTAAGGAGTAAGTGGGTCCACAGGGGTGGAGGACAGGTGTGAGGAGGCTCAGGGAAGGTGCTTGGGGGTCTGTGCAAGGGGTGGGGGAGGGATGCTCGGGAAAGGTGCTCGGAGGAACACAAATGGAGGGGAGGAGGTACAGCAACACGTGGGGAGAGGGCACAGGAGTGCACAAGGGTGGTGCAACAAGGCTCAGGGAAGATGTGCTGGAGTGCACAAGTGGCCAACGCAATGCAAGTACGGAGGAGCTGGGGGAGGGTGTGGAGTGGAGGAGACCTGCAACCTTCCCTGCTGGCTTCCCCATTGACTTTCTGGGGAAGCCAGAAGGAAAGGTCACAAATGGCGAACTGTGTGATCGCTGGTGAATTTATATAGTAAGCTGCCAGCCACCCAGATCACAATCGTGTGGCTGCGGGGATGCTGAGACACATTGACAAAACCTGGGGAATACCTGTAAAATTACCTGTATCTTCTTGTTTATTTAAAGTACTTTATGCTCTATCGTTTTGCTTATAATGTCATCTGAAAAGCTTGCTACAGAAGCAGCAAACTAGCAGCTAACAACAGATTTGAAATGCATTAAGAGCTTAAAAAATAATAATGATATTATTCAGCAAGCAAGGGAGAAAATGCCATCCCTCTGATAGTTCAGTGTCAGACTCCTCACAAATCCAGCCAAGATACAGCTGTGATTGGAAATTTCTGCTGGTGCATTTCCTTATTAGGTTCCGATTTTTGAAGAGCATCAGGATGCAGGAGGCATTTTTCGGTGACAGCTCCAAAATACCTATATTGGCAGAACAGAGCTGAGTTTATCATCCCAAGAGTGGTAAATGGGACCAACCCCTTACCTGTCCAGGTGATCCTTCACCTTCCTCTGGATTTTTCTTTTTCTTTTTTGTCTGTGCATCTTCTGAAGCCATTTCATCAGCTGGTGCGTTTCCCCTCAATACTCGGAAAAGGTACAACGATCCACTAAAAACAGAATGAAGAAACAGCCAAAGAAAAGTGCTGTTAAATATACAACACTTTGCAGCAAAAAAAAAAAAAGGGTATGGATTTACATATACGCAGGAGCCTAACCTCTGCATTTGGAGCATAATAAGAGCCATGGTGGCATAGTGGTTAGAATGCAGTACTGCAGGTTACTTCTGCTGACTGCCTGCAATTTGGCCGTTTGAATCTCACCAGGCTCAAGGTTGACTCAGCCTTCCATCCTTCCGAGGTGGGTAAAATGAAGACTCAGATTGTTGGGGGCAATATGCTGACTCTGTAAACCACTTAAGAGAGGGCTTGTAAAGCACTGGGAAGCAATATATAAGTCTAAGTGCTATTGCTAAGTGCTATAACATTAGGTCCCTGGAGTGGCTCACAGAGATCTTTCGTAAAATTAAAAGGAAGCCCAATTAATAAAGCAAGCAAAGGGCTAATCAAGAGAATTCTACACTGAGAATGCAAGTTTAGTATTTATAATGTAAAGCACAGGCAAACATTTATTTTTAGTCAGCAGTAAGGAAAGTGCAATGTGAGCCTTCAGGGAAAGGTTATTCAATAGGAAAAGGAGCCTCCTTTTAATCACCTCCAGATTTAGATAACGATCCAAAGAAAGGTCTCTGATGAAATGTTCAATGCAAGGACTAAATGTTGTTCATTTAGTCCTTTAAGAGTCAGTGACTTTGGATAATGAGATTGGGGCAGGCATGAGAATAGGATAGGATAGGATAGGATAGGATAGGATAGGATAGGATAGGATAGATAGATAGATAGATAGATAGATAGATAGATAGATAGATAGATAGATAGATAGATAGACTTTATTGTCATTGTACGTGTATACACAGTATACCCATACAACGAAATTCACTTAACACCCAAAGACCAGGTCCAACACACATAACAATCCCCAAACACACTCCTACCCACCACAATTCCCTACCCCTAAACCACCCAAACATCCACACAACAGACCAAGTAATGCTGTCCAACAGCTCACTGATGGTGGCCCTTTAGTTCATTGTTGAGTGCAATTATAGCTCTGGGATAAAAACTATTCATGGAATGGAATGGAATGGAATGGAATGGAATGGAATAGAATAGAATAGAATAGAATAGAATAGAATAGAATAGAATAGAATAGAATAGAATAGAATAGAATAGAATAGAATAGAATAGAATAGAATAGAATAGAATAGAATAGAATAACAGAGTTGGAAGGCACCTTGGACGTCTTCTAGTCCAACCTCCTGCCTAGGCAGGAAACCCTACACCACTTCAGACAAATGATTATCCAATCTCTTCTTAAAAATTTCCAGTGTTGGAGTATTCACAACTTCTGGAGGCAAGTTGTTCCACTGATTAATTGTTCTAACTGTCAGGGAATTTCTCCTTAGTTCCAGGTTGCTTCTCTCCTTGATTAGTTCCCACCCATTGCTTCTTGTCCTGCCCTCAGGTGCTTTGGAAAATAGCTTGACCCTCTCTTCTTTGTGGCAGCCCCTGAGATATCGGAACATAGATAACTGATAATTAAGGATTGGCCACTTCCTTTCCTATTATTTAAAGGAAAGAACAGATATCTTGTTTTTCTTAACTGCAATCACAAAGGTTCAGGCTCTGGGTTCTAAGATAAGAATATAGACATCTTTCAGTACAGATAGTCCTTGACTTATGACCACAATTCATCCAAAATTGATGTTGCTAAGTGAAACATTTGTTAAATGAATTTTGCCCCATTTTACAACCTTTCTTTTGCCACAGCTGTTAAATGAATCACTACACTACAGTTTGCTAGCCAGTTAACTAAGGTATGTAGGAAGCACATCGCAATAGTAATGCCTAAGCAGGGGGCTGGACTAGAAGACCTCCAAGGTCTCTTCCAACTTTGTTATACTATTCTATTCTAGTTGTTAAATTAGTAACCCGGTTGTTAAACTAATCTGGCTTCCCCACTGACTTTTGCTTGTCAGAAGGTCACAAAAATGGATCACATGACCCCGGGACTCTGCAACTGTCATAATTATGAACCAGCTGCAAAGTATCCTAAGTCATATTTTTTCAGTGCCGTTGCAACTTTGAACGGTCATTAAATGGACCGTTGTAAGACGAGGACTCCTTGTACTCAAGCAGAACTTAAAAAGGCATTTCATGCGTGCATGCTCTGGGCAGAGAACTTACCTGAAGTAATAGAGGGCTACTGAAGAGTCATTCTGCTTGCAGCTTCTCTTCACCAAACTTTCTAGCAAGGTGTGCAGTTCCTCCTGGATAGAGGACACATTTTTGCAGTATTGCTTGGATCTACACAAGCTGTTCCTAAAAACCAAAAAAAGAACATTCCACAAACAATGTTAACTATCACAGAGAAATCCCACAGTTGTCCTTAGCCTTTCTATCACACTGGCTCTAAGCAAGTCATAATTAAAATCCATGTAACTGGTACAATAACACAGATAAAATGCCAGGGAAGAAGTGGGAAGAAAGTACAGTAAAGTCATGGTTCTAAGCCAGATGTCCACAATTGGGAGGCCCTAAAGCTACAAGTCATCCACTAAAACAGGGGTGTCGAACAGGGTTGTGTTTGACCTTGTAAGGCTGGGTGGTGGTGGTTGGGGGGCGGGGGCGTTGTCATGGTGGGTGTGCCTATGGTAGGCGGTTTTGGTTGGCAGAGAGCTGCTGAAGACCAGGGAGGCTGAAAATGGGAGGCGCGGGGCGGCCTCACAGGGCCTCCGTGCAGCCCGTTTATGGTACAGCAGAGTGCTGCTGAAGGTATATCAGGCCACGGCCTGGGGGTTGGGGACTGCATTAAGTGCAGGTCAAGATAATTAAAAACACCCCAAGTCAGCACAGGTAACTTGGCATGTGTATAGTGTTCTCTCTCTCTCTCCCTCTCTCTCTCTCTCTCTCTCTCTCTCTTCTTTCTCCACTCCCCCTCAGACACACACACACACACACACACACACACACACACAAATGCTTCTCTGAAACTCACGTGAAAATATCAGCAGTCTTCCGGAGATAATCTTGTTCTTGCTTGTTGGAGTCTGAGCTCATACTGTGCTCAATCACAGAAAGGAGAGGGTCAATGACACTGAAAACAAGAGGATTCCCTGCCTGCTTCATCAGAAATAATTCAACCAAATCCAGGACCTGAATGAAAAATAAACAGAGATGCGTATCACATTAACAGCAACCCCACCACTATAGGAAAAAGAAAAAAATCTGGAAAGAGTTATGCAGAAGGAATCCATGGTTGAACTCCTTTGCTGATTAACATCTAATCCATGGGAGACATTTATGAAATTCAAAAAACAACAACAACACACAAGCATACAATTCAGTGATTTTCAAATAGTTTTACAAAAAAAAAACCCTGCCACACTACTCTTTTGGTTGTTAGCCAAAAAAAGAATTGCTAATTAACGATCCCTCTACAGTTTTATAGTAATACTTGGAAATCATAATTAAAATAGCCCAACTGACAGCTAAGAAGTGAAAATGAGAGTTTTGTTTTCTTTGGCTCTAAAACAGATAAAGTTGGATAGTGCGCTAGAGAAGTAAAAAAAACAACAACCCATGATTGAAAGGTTAAACAGAAAGGAAATTATCGAAGAAGATAATAAAGGATAAGGACATTTCAGTGACAGCCTCACCAAAACTGAAGTGTTAAAGCAATTATCTTCATAATGGCAACATACAGCCCCAAAAACCTGGAGACTAAAACTGAGAGTAAGAAGATAGGATCTCTTTCAAATAAAGAGATTTGGAAAACAGTAACTTCTTCTACCAAGAAGAACCAATCAATCAGACATGGACCAAATAAAATGGCTATTCCTGTGAGCAGCAACTCACACAATTTGGGTACAGAAGAGAAATGTGCAGTAGAACAAATTATTATATTAGACAAGGTTTAAAGAAGTAAAAGGGAAGACAATGGAAAAAATGAGTCGATTTCAGAAGAATCTATCTGTATTCTTCCAGAAGAATAGAATTGAATAGAATAGAATTCTTTATTGGCCAAGTGATTGGACACACAAGGAATTTGTCTTAGGAGTATATGTTCTCAGTGTATATAAGAAAAATAAAATACATTCATCAAGAATAAAAAGATACAACACTTAGTCATAGTCAAGGTTACTAATAAGCTATCAAATCGTACTAGGAAACAAATAAAAACAATATAAATTGAAAGATACAAGAAACATGGTTATAGTAATAAGTGGAAAGAGTTAGATATTAGTAAGGAAGAGAAGAAGAAGAATAATACAGTCTTAGTAAATTATTTGACAATGTTGTGGGAATTAATTGTTAAGCAGAGTGATGGCATTCGGGAAAAAAATGTCCTGGTGTCTAGTTGTTCTGGTGTGCAGTGCTCTATAGCACTATAGTCTTTTTGAGGGTAAGAGTTGAAACAATTTATGTCCAGGATGTGAGGGGTCTGTAGATATGTTCACAGCCCTCTTTTTGACTTATGCAGTTTACAGGTCCTCAAGGGAAGGCAGGTTGGTGGTAATTGTTTTTTCTGCAGTTCTAATTATCCATTGAAGTCTGTCTGTTTTGTTTGGTTACAGAGCCAAACTAGACAATTATGCAGGTGCAACATGAATATGACTATGAATATGAATATAAGACATTATAGGTAGTTCTCGACCTACAGCATTTCATTTAGTGACCATTCAAAGTTACAATGGCATTGAAAAACCTTTATGACTTTTTTTTCACACTTATAACCATTGCCTCATCACCATGATCATGTGATCAAAATTTGGATGTTCAGCAACTGATTCATATTTATGACGGTTGCAGTGTCCTGTGATCAACTTTTGCAATCTTCTTACAAGCAAATCAATGGGGAAGCTGTGTTCGGTGTATAAGACACACCAACGTTTCCACGCTCTATTAGGGGGAGAAAAAGGTGCGTCTTATACTCCGAAAAGTACAGTAATTACCAAAGTTTCTTACATGGCAGAAACTGACAGCATAGAATCCTAAATATTTCTAGATAGCTATTGTGGAACAATTCTTTTTAAAAAAATCCAGTGACTGAAATTGCACAATGAAGAATGCTTAAGCTAGGGCAAAATTTCAATCCTCATGTAAGATTGCACAAGATCTCAAGTACAAGATAACAAAAAAACAAAAACAAAACACCCCTTTATGGCCATTGAATATTTTCACATTTGTATTTGGGGGTGTGGTATGCCACGCAAGACATTTTACAAGAGTGGCGGACAGCTGAAATTATTGCTGATCTTAGTCATAGGCCATAAACTCAAAAAGACCCTGGATTCTTACCTTGATTTTGAAGTCCCGGCGCAAGATTTTCTCCTTGCGCAACTTTTCCTTCTCGTCTTTCTTGGCTTGGATGCGCTTCTTCTGCTCAGTAAAGAGAGATGAAAGCTTCTCATCGAGGGACATCATAGTCTCATCATCCACATCCTCGTCACTGTCATCTCCTTCCTTGGATGTAAATATATATATATATATAGGACAACAAAGCAAACTTTCATAGGCCAATTAGGCCACCCCAGCAATAGATTATGAAACTTAATAGTCCAACATGTCACAAGAACATCAAGTGGGAGAAAGGCACCAACAGCAATACCAACAGCAAACTTATCCCATATACTCAAACTCAACTCAAAAAGATGATTAGGGGACTGGAGGCTAAAACATATGAAGAACGGTTGCAGGAACTGGGTATGTCTAGTTTGATGAAAAGAAGGACTAGGGGAGACATGATAGCAGTGTTCCAATATCTTAGGGGCTGCCACAAAGAAGAGGGAGTCAAGCTGTTCTCCAAAGCACCTGAGAGCAGGACAAGAAGCAATGGGTGGAAACTAATCAAAGAGAGAAGCAACTTAGAACTAAGGAGAAATTTCCTGACAGTTAGAACAATTAATCAGTGGAACAACTTGCCTCCAGAAGTTGTGAATACTCCAACACTGGAAGTTTTTAAGAAGATGTTGGATAACCATTTGTCTGAAGTGGTGTAGGGTTTCCTGCCTGGGCAGGGAGTTGGACTAGAAGACCTCCAAGGTTCCTTCCAACTCTGTTATTCTATTCTATTTTAACTCATATAACCAATAGCAAACTCATCCTTGGAGCATTTAGTATTACCATATTCAATCACAGAAAAGCTGAGAATTTTAGGTGCCAAAATGAACCTTAAAAATTGGGCTTGGCTTATTCACAGATGAGCTTATCCGCAAGTACATACTATAATCGTTTTTAATTTATATATTACCCATTTATATGGGTAGATAAGCCCATCCATGGATAAACAGACCCTTGAATGCCATAAAAGTGCACATTGGCTTATCTGTGGATGGCAGTTTTTATGGTATTTTGGAAAAAACATTCAAGGGTTGCCTTATTTGCGGATGGCCTTATCCACAAATATATACGGTTGCTGTCAGCATTGACATCCAGTCGGTCAAGTTGACTTATGGTATATAGGCAAAAATTATATGGTGATTAAAGGAATGGGTTTGACTGGAAAGATTCAGATTCAATTTTTCACTCAATTACAGAATTTATATGATGATTTGAGGATAGTTCCTACTTTTCAGCTCCAGCTACCCAGAGAATTATTGACGCAAGAAAAACAGAAACAAAAACCAGAAATAATTTTACCAAAGTGCACCACTTAAAGCAAATATAATAAATAAATAAATAAATAAATAAATAATAAATAAATAAATAAATAATAAAAACAATTACTACCAACCTGCCTTCCACTGAGGACCTGTATACTGTATACTGCACGAGTCAAAAAGAGGGCTGTGAAAATCTCGGTTTTCCCGAGATTTTCCATTAAAATTTTAAGGGGCAAAAGAGATATAGGCAGATTTGGACTCCCGGATTGGGAAACATACTACAGGGCAGCTAAGCTAGTTTGGTTAAGAGACTGGATCACCCTGGGAAATGAGAGGATTCTCACTTTAGAAGGCCATGACTTGCAAAAAGGCTGGCACGCCCACATTTGGGACGAGGAGAAGAAACGGAAGACACATTTCCATAGACATAAAATTAGAGACTCCCTGATACAAACATGGACTCAGATTAGGCAGAAATATTACAAAAAAATTCCAAATTGGCTCTCAACGATGGAGGCCCTGACCCACCCAAATAGGTGGGAGAGGGAGAAAATGGGCAGATACAAAGATATTTTGGACGAAGGAGGGAGGCTTAAACCAAATGACACCTTACGAGAGCAAGGAATAATTTTAGATTGGTGGACCTACTCACAAGTAAAATCCAGATATCAGAGAGACAAAGAACAATACGGTTTAGAACTTGGACCAAATGGATTGGATAAAGTCCTGATGGGAACAAATAAAAAGATTCTGGCAAAACTATACAATTATCTATTAGGCGACGATAAGTTCGAAGATGTCACAAAGAACCAAATAATTGCATGGAAGAAAAATATAGGACGCGATATAAATTTTGGGGAATGGGAGGAGGCATGGAACAGAAATCTTAAACTCACTAGAGCGGTGGCATATAAGGAAAACCATTACAAAATGTTGCATAGATGGTACCTAGCCCCGGCCAGACTAGCAAAGATATATCCCAATATACATCCCAACTGTTGGAAATGTGGCTATGGTCAAGGCACCTTCTTTCACATGTGGTGGACATGCCCGGAAGCGAAAGGATACTGGAATAAAATTAGGAGGTGGTTACAAGAAATAATTGATGAAGATATTGAACTAACACCAGAGATTTTCCTCCTGGGAATAATAAAGAAGCCATATAGAAAGGAAATGACACATTTAATGATCCACATAATTACAGCCGCTAGATTGGCATACGCACAGTACTGGAAAGAGAAAACTCAACCACCAGAAGAGCTTACAATTAAGAAAATACTCGAGTGCGCAGAGATGACTAAATTAACTTATGAATTAAATGATGAGAAGTCAGTTTACTATATGGTATGGGAAAGGTGGTACAAGTGGTTGCATGACAAAATGAAAGAAAGATCTAAAGGTGTGTTAAATATTGGTTAAAAGTGAGTTGAAATGTCACCAAGTACTATTTATGTAAATAGTTAAAACACTGCACATCCGATATTAATTGAAAATGTTATCATACTTATGTGTTTTATGTTTCTGTTTGAATGTTTGTTTTTCCTTTTTCTCTTTTTTTATTTTTTATTTTTTTCTGTTTTGTAAAAAACCTCAATAAAGTTTCTATAAAAAAAAAAAAAAGAGGGCTGTGAAAATATTTACAGACCCCTCACATTCTGGACATAAACTGTTTCAACTCCTACCATCAAAATGATGCTATAGAGCACTGCACACCAGAACAACTAGGCACAAGAACAGTTTTTTCCCAAACGCCATCACTTTGCTAAACAAATAATTCCCTCAACATTGTCAAACTAGTTACTAAGTCTGCATTACTATTAATCTTCTCATCATTCCTATCACCCATCTCCTCCCACTTATGACTGTATGACTGTGACCTTGTTGCTGCTATCTTTAAGATTTTCCCTATGACTGTCATTAAGTGTTGTACCTTATGATTCTTGACGAATGTATCTTCTTTTATGTACTCCGAGAGCATATGCACCAAGACAAATTCTTTGTGTGTACAATCACACTTGGCCAATAAAGAATTCTATACTATTCTATTCTATTCTATATATGCATCTAGTTTCATAGATTTTATCTAGCTAGTTCTGCACAATAAAACATCTATCAGCCCACTTCAATATTAAGGAGGCTGCAAGGTTTGTGCAAAGTACCTTACAAGCCCTTCAAAAAATAAATATAGTAGGATTGGTATTTTTTTTTAAAAAAAATCTTCCCATTGAAGACTAAAAATGACCAGCAGCCACAGAAAGAGGAGTGCCATTTGGCTGATCTTTAATGCCAGCTGGCCAAGGCTGAGATCTGGCACAACAAAAATGTGTTGCCTACAAAATGCCATAAAAAAAAACACGAATATCTTTCCTACAGTTGCATTATTAAACGTCCCAGAACACTTTTTTTTTTTTTTGGTAAAACAGTCAGCAGACCTCTTTGTGCAGTGCCAGCAGGAAGCAGTAGCTCATCACCTCTCTAATATTGTATTACCCATTTTGGGCAGCACAGCTCAGCGTTCTTCATGCAGAATTGTGTTTCTCTCAACACTGGAGCCTCACTGTTTAACTAAAGCCTCTTCTCCAATACCTACCAACGCATTCTCGGCTTGTAAAACATTCCTCAGCATGGCACGGAAGTTGTCGTCGGGTTCGTCCTCACCCTCACTATTGGTCTCCAACGCCTCTTTGTCGCTCTCATCGCTTTCTTCGGAGCTGTCTTCATCAGAGCTCTCCCCACTTTCTTCATCTTGATTCTGCCAGACAATAAAATAGGTTTTTCCCCCCCACCTTTTTTAACTGTAATTCCTAGTCCCTCTTTAGTTTCATCTTCCATACTGTAAGAGGGGGAAAGAATTGTACCGGTGGGATGGGAGGTCATACAAATCAAGATGAGTAAATGAAGGGTAGGGAAAATGAATCACTCCTAAGAACTACAATCAGGGGTGCTATTCACTTACTTTCCCTACCGGTTCACAAATGTGAGTGCACATGCGCCCGGCCTTCCGCACATGTGCTTTGTTGCCGTGCGTGCCTTCTGCGCATGCGCCTGGCCTCAAAAAGGTGCCTAAATAGGATAGCATAGAGCTGGGGCAGGGAGGCAAGCCCACCCGCGATTTCTGTTACCGGTTCAGGCAGATCAGTCCGAACCGGTTGAATACCACATCTGATACAATGATTGGACAGGATTCCGTATCTCATTAATAGCAATAGCACTTATGTACCACTTCACAGTGCTTTACAGCCCACTCTAAGTGTTTTACAGAGTCAACATATTGCCCCCAACTATCTGGATACCTCATTTTCCTCGAAAAGATGGAAGGCTGAGTCAACCTTGAGCTGGTGAGACTCGAACTGCCAAACTGAGGGCAGCCGGCAGTCAGCAGAAGTAGCCTGCAGTACTGCACTATAACCATGTGCCACTATACCTGTCAGGACTCTCTCAGATGACAAAGCAAAATACTCAAGAGTCTATTTCCCAAGATAAATGAAGATTCACCTATTGTAGCCAAACTATAATATAATAATAAAAGAATTCCAGAGATTGCTGGGTTATCAGTGAGAGCTCTATTTATTTTACAAGCAATATTCCAATATTCTGCCAACAGCCTGCAGAGCTGGCAGAGGAGTTGGAGAGTGAGGAGGCTGGGGAGGAACATGGGCCAGTCCTGGAGTCTCGGGAAGGCTCGGACGAGGGCTCTGCGTCAGAGGCAGAGATGGGGCCAGGGCCATCTGGGAGTTATGCGCGGACTCTGGAGCCTCCCAAGTCAGACATCAGAGAGGCAGAGGAAAAGGAGGAACCTGTTCCTAGTGTGCGCATAAACAGAGCTGCCAGAAGGCAAGAACAGTTAAAACAAAAGGGACAGTTCAGGAGTAAGGCCTGGAGATGATTGGCCCCTCCTGTAAGCCTTAAAAGAGGAGCAAAGGCACGTGGGCCATTTGCAGGAAAGCAACGTTGTTAATTCTGTTCCCAGTTGGCATCTCTGTTTGATTCTGGACTCCGTGTGGCTTTGCCAAGTAGGTCTTTGGCAGAATGTCAAGGGAGATAAAGGTTGGTGATTATCCCGAAGGACTTCTCCCGAAGGACTTTTTGCAACTAATTGGGACTCAGCTGTATATGAACGTAATTCACAGCTGTTGCAATAAAAGAGGTTTTTGGGACTACTCCTGTGTTTTAATAACTCAGGAAGCCTAAATCACAACACAGTTCTATTCAGGCAGGATGTAATTTCTATCTGTTCCTTGTTTTAGTCGCAGCCTATTTTAATATTGGGTTGCCGACTTTTGACTGTATGATAACTATCGTTCACAATAATAGGACTTACTGTAATTTTTTGAGACAATTTCTTTCTCTTCTTCTCCGTTTCTTCCATGACGACAACAGCATTTTCTTCATCCTGATCTTGTTGTGGATCCAGAACCTTTTGAGAGAATTTTACTTTTATCAAATTCCAATGCATTATCTCTGAAAAGAAACAAAGCAGCCTCTGCTATAACACAGGTTTGTATCGAACCTGACGCTGACATATGTGTAGCCATGGTTTATTGTAGTCATTTCCTATTCGTTTTCTAAGCTTTTTCTAGGTATTCGGTAAAGGGATCTAACGCGACTTCAGGCTCGCCACATTCTAACAGTAGGAAGGGGTGTTTTATTATTATTATTATTAATAATAATCATATTTCTATGCCGCCCACTCTCCGAGGACTCTGGGCGGCTTACAACAATCGACAGTATACTAAATAGCATATTGCCCCCAACAATCTGGGTCCTCATTTTACCCACCTCGGAAGGATGGAAGGCTGAGTCAACCTTGAGCCGGTGAGATTTGATCTGCTGATCTGCTGAACTAGCAGTCAGCTGAAGTAGCTGCAGTACTGCACTCTAACCACTACGCCACCTCGGCTCTGAAGGGTTTGTAGAAATAAGGTGGGATATTATGGCTAGGTAGCATTCTTTCCCGTGGGAACTGAGAATGTGCCTGCAGATGGCTGAAGATGGAGTTTGGAGTCACTGGACAGTTGGGCTATGAGTTGATTGGAGAATGTGACGGTGGGGGGGAGAGAGTTTCAAACTTTTGCTTTTTACTGGGTGTAATTCCGGGATTTGGTCAGAGCCAGAGTGACACCAAGACCTGATATGTTCCTAATAAACAGATTTTGATTGAATATGACTGCCTTGGACTATTCATTCTGGGGACTTATTCCTTGGAAGCTTGACAGTTTGCCTGTCAGGATCCTGCAATTTTCTAGTTGCTCCTGAACATTAGTAACCTTGCTTGTCAAGTGGTGAAAGCATCAGGCTAGAAACTGGGAGACTGTGAGTTCTAGTCCCGCTTTAGGCATGAAAGTTGACTTTGGCCAAACACTCTCTCTCTCAGCACAATCCATATCACAGAATTTTTGTGGGGAACAGACAATAGGAGGATGTCCACCATCTTATTTATCAATTATATTAATAAATAGGATAAAAACTAAAACAAACTAATGTTAAACAACTACTGGCATGGTCAATAGGCTGCTTACTCTCCAATGTAAATGGAAGTTATTTTCAGCAATAGCAGTTCATTCATATCCAAGCATAAAGATATTTAACCGTCAATTAAAGTTTCTATAATGATGTCTGACCATTGAAGTATTAACTGTCAGCTGTTCTTTCACAGAGCAGCAGAGGTCCCGTTCTCCAATTTTACATTCAAAACAAACCTATACAGATAGTCCTCAACTTACAACCACAATTAAGCCCCAAATTTATGTTGCTAAGTGAGAAATTTGTTAAGTGGGGAAATTTGCCCCATTTTTTTCAACTTTTTTCTTGCCATTGTTGTTAAGTGAATCACTGGAGTTGTTAAATAAGTAACACGGTCGCTAAGTGAATCTGGCTTCCCCATTGACTTTGCTTGTCGGAAGGTCACAAAAGGTGATCACGTTAGCCAGGACACTGCAATCATCATAAATGTGAATCAGTTGTCAAATATCCAAATGTAAATCACGTGACTATGGGGAATGCTGCAACGGTCATAAGTGTGAAAAACGGTCATAAGTCACCTTTTTCAGTGCTGTTGTGACTTCGAAAGGTCATTAAGTGAACTGTTGTATGTCAAGGACTAGCGGTAAATACGTTTCTACTTAGATATACAAAAATAGATCAAATCACTCCGTGAGCTGCATGCCCAAATGGGGAGTTCAACCTAGGTCTGATCTGATTACAGATTAACAGAGTTGGAGGGGACCTTGCAGGTCATCTAATCCAATCCCCGCCCAAAGAGAAGACCCTACACCATTTCTGACAAATGGCAGTCCAATCTCTTCTTGAAAGCCTCCAGTAAAGAAGCTCCCACAACTTCTGAAGGCAACCCCTGTTCCATTGGTTGATTGTTCTCACTGTCAGAAAAATTCTCCTTATTTCTAGGTTGAATCTCTCCTTGATCAGTTTCCATCCATTATTCTTGTCTGGCCTTCAGGTGCTTTGGAAAATAGCTTGACCCCTTCCTCTCTGTGGCAGCCCCTCAAATATTGGAGCACTGCTATCATGTCTCCCCTGGTCCTCCTCTTCACTAGACTAGCCATGCCCAGTTCCTGCAACCGGTCATCGTATGTTTTAGTCTCCAGTCCCCTAATCATCCTGGTTGCTCTCCTCTGCACTTTTTCTAGAGTCTCAACATCTTTTTTATAGTGTGGTGACCAAACCTGGATGCAGTATTCTAGGTGTGGTCTTACTAAGGCTTTATAGAGTGGTATTAGTACCTCACTTGATCTTGATTGTATCCCTCTGTTAATGCCACTAATCCAGACAGAGCATCAACCAACTCTCAAAAGACTCACGTCTAGGATGAGCTGCAGAGCACCCTTCGTCATGTGCTGGCAGACGAGCCCAAACACGTTTTTACAGACCCGTCGAATCAGCCCACTGGATTGAGCTAGGAGAGAAAGCAGAACTTCCACAATCACTTCAACCCACGCTGGCTCTCCTTCCTCATCTGAGCAAAACAAAGCAAAGAAAAACCATATCATCAGCATTAATGTCTGTAAGACCGGTCTTTCCGAATCTTATGTCCTCCAGATAATTTGGGAAAGGCTCTTGCGGATCTCCAAATCGGCAATCATCACACTGCCTGGAAACTTTAGAAGCCATCAACCCAATGCAACTGAAGGTTACGAAGTCAAGAAGACGATGATAACCAACCTGGGATGGAAACTCACCAGTTGTAGCTGCCTTTTTCTTCTTGGGCTTCTCACCAAAGGCTCTCTTGATACAATTCTGGAGATCGTTCAGAAGGTTCACGCACTCTGCTGGAGACTGTGTGAATTGCAGAACCCAAGAGGAAAGAAGAAAGCAAACTTATCAGTATTATTACATTTTTAATCTTGTTTTATTTCCCAAAAAAGTAAGGGTCACGTACTCCCTCTGTACATAAAATAAGTTAAGACTGGAATACATACAGGTAAAGGTAAAGATTCCCCTTGCACATACGTGCTAGTTATTCCCTATTCTTAGGGGCGATGCTCATCTCTGTTTCAAAGCCAAAGAGCCAGTGTTTTCCGAAGACATCTCTGTTGTCATGTGGCCAGCATGACTAAACATCAAAGGCGCACGGAACACTGTTATCTTCCCACCAAAGGTGGTCCCTATTTTTCTACTTGTATTTTTACGTGCTTTCGAACTGCTAGGTTGGCAGAAGCTGGGACAAGTAACGGGAGCTCACTCCGTTATGCACTAGGGATTCGAACCACTGAACTGCTGACCTTTCTATCGACAACCTGTGCGTCTTAGCCACTGAGCCAACGCGTCCCCTTATACATACAGGTAGTCCTCGGCTAACAACAATTTGTTCAGTAACTGTTTGACATTACAACGGTACTGAAAAAAGTGACTTAAGGCCAGTTTTCACACTTATGACTGAACAGTCGTAACTTCAAACAGTCACTAAACAAGAGATTGTAAGTCAAGGAGTACCTGTAAAAAAGATGCACCTCAAAGTTGGCCAGAAATGAATGAGAGCTTATCAATTCAACCTCTTTGTCACCACCTGAGGTTATAGAATTGCCACAGAAACCAGGGAGAAAATGAATCCTACCATTCCTAATCAACAAATGATTCTTCACCTTGTATTCTGTATTATAACTAAGAGTCAGGAATTTGCATGAATTCAGAACTAGGTCCAAAAACCTTCTGGCATACTTGACGTTACCTTGAAGAGGTGAATACCAACCAACAGCAGCAGGTGTTGGAAGGCAGAGGTCTTCATGCTGTGGCTTTTTTTATCTCTTTTTTTCAGGGCTTCCACGGTCTGCAACATCCTGTGACAAGGAAACATCGTGTTTGAGACCCAACAGTTATGCATTCGATTTCAATTCTGCACCACAAGCTGTCATGGAATCTCAGAACTTTTGCAATAAGGTAATGTGCAAAGATAAGGAATTACTGTACTTTTCTGAGTATAAGATGCACTTCCCCCCACTAAAGGAGGGTAGAAATGTTGGTGTCTCTTATACACCAAATACAGCCATTTTTGGCCTCCCATGACCCCATCCTGCGCATCCCATTATCGCCAAAACCAGGCCCGTTTTTCAAAAAACTGGGATGTGCAGAGGGTTTGGGAGGCCTGCAGAGTGCTGCTGGGGACGGCAAAATCGTGCCGCTTGGGGGCTTTGGGAGGCCAAAAACCAAGGCAGCCATTTTGTTTGAGACAGGCCACAACATCCTTGCAACATCCCAAATAAATTGGGGATCCCTGCCGTGCAGGGAAACTTACTTGTCCCAAGCCTCTCGCTCTTCATCATTAAATGGAACCACCATGTTAACCTGTTCCTGGTGTGAAAGGAGGAGGTTGGCATACTGCACAACACAGTGGATCCAGGGGTCTCCACTAGCTGTCAAACCGTGGAGGTGCTTCTTCCTCATTCCTTCGGCTTCGGCTGAGTCTCCCAGGGCAGGCATTGTGTTCAAATGCTGAAGCAAACTGCAGAGGGGAAAAAAAGAAATTCAGAAATCGCTCTGCCATACAACAGACTCAAGATTGGATTTCAAGCTGGCATTAACGAGTACTTCAAAATGTTCAAATCCTGCCATGTGATTTTTTTTCTCCTGATTTAAACATTCCTGGTTCAGGAATAATGGAGAGCTAGTTTCTCCAACAGAGAATTCTATCATCTTTCCCATCTTCCATTTCTGTATTTCCATGGGCCACTATGGTCATTGCTGGATGAGTGGCAATTTATTCTTTTAAAACAGCATTTTTGTATTTCATATATCCTAACACTGGCACATATCCTCTTTCAGGGACCTCAATTTTTGCCACAGCGATTCTAAAACCCCATGCTGTCCTATTAAAAAAATTAATTCAAAGCAAACATCTTCATATATTTTTGTAACATCCGTGTCCCGCTTTTCCTCCCCGAGTTTAAAACATTGTGCATGATTCCTCTCCATAATATCTTTGTGAAGTAAATCAGCCAGGGAGTGATTGTCCCAAAGTCACTTCATGGCTCAGTGGGGATTTTAAACCCCTTTCCAGCCCTAACACAACCCTTTAACATACTGGCTATTTTTTAATTTGTCAATTATTAGATTTTTATCCCATTCTTATTACTTTATAAGTAACTCAAGGTGGTGAATATATACAACCCTCCTTTCTCCTATCTTCCCCACAACAATTCTATGTGATGGGTTGGGCTGAGATAGAGTGACTGGCCTGAAATCATCCAGCTGGTTTTCATGCCTAAGGCAGGATTAGAACTCAGGTCTCCTAGTTTCTAGGCCAGCACCTTAACCGCTACATCAAACTGACTCTCCTATTATTACTATTTTATACTAGTCTTAGGAGAGTCAGTTTGGTATAGTGGTTAAGGTGCTGGCCTAGAAACTAGGAGACCTGAGTTTTTACTATTCTATACTAGTCTTAGGGACATGGTGGCTCAGTGGTTAAGACGCTGAGTTTGTCTATCTGAAGGTTGGCAATTCAGTGGTTTGAATCCCTAGTGCCGCATAATGGAGTGAGCTTCCGTTACATGTCCCAGCTTCTGCCAACCTAGCAGTTTGAAAGCACGTAAAAAATGCAAGTAGAAAAATAGGGACCACCTTTGGTGGGAAGGTAACAGTATTCCGTGCGCCTTCAGCATTTAGTCATGCCAGCCACATGACCACGGAGACATCTTTGGACAGCGCTCTTCGGCTTTGAAATGGAGGTGAGCACTAGAGTCAGGAACGACTAGCATGCATGTGTGGGGGAACCTTTACCTTATACTAGTCTTCCGGGTAAGCCAAGCAAGAAAGAAGCCACATTTGATACCTGAAAAATGAGTCCGCAGCTACTGTACGAGACTGTTCATTCAGAGGAACTGAAGGAGAACTTTTTGTTTCTGTTATCTTCAGAAATCGTTTCTTGGTCTTAAAAAAGGCATGAAAGAAGCAGAATCTGAAAGAATGAGAGTTTTCTCAGTCCATGGATAGAAGCTAGTCTTAATTACATTAAACAGAAACACGTCCTACCATGTGATCTGTCATGCAATGTTTAACCATGGTTGGGTGTGAATAAATAACAAGCTGGATTTACTCAACCCTCAGCCATATTTCATGGTTTGTAAACCACACACGTTAAATCTAAACCAAACAGACATCCTTAGAGCGTAATCCAGTCCAAAAACCTTGTCGGAATCTCTAGAAACTTGACAGGGATACAAGAATACTGGGTTTTGTTTAAAAAACTAGTTTCATAGTTTCATTTGTTATAAGCTTAAAACCGGAACCAAAATATCCATCCTGCAAATGAGACAGTTTGTAACAGAGGCTGACAAAGCAATGGCCATAGCTCCATAAGCACTCGTGATGTTCCCAAAAGGTGTCCAAACATTCCCTAAAATTAAATGATGTAAGATAATGATGATCAAACATTCACAAGATCAGTTTTCAGCATTTATACAATAGCTCTTTCAAGGTCCTGGGGATGAAATCATGACTTACAAACTTGAAAAAATGTTGGCCATTTTTAGAAAACGCATATTACTGCCCACTTTAGGTGCCTAAAACCTAAAAAGGCTGCCAAGTAGAGAAATTAAATTTTGTTTAAAACTGTTTCTCTTTTTCTTCAAAAAGAGTGTTCTAAGAGTCTTAACTAGGAGCCTGAGTGGCGCAGCAGACTAATGCTACTGTTAAAGGTAGTATTTAGCTTCCAGCTGCCTGCAATTACTGCAAGTTCAATTCTCACCAGGCTCAAGGTTGACTCAGCCTTCCATCCTTTCTAAGGTAGGTAAAATCAGGACCCGGTTTGTGGGGGCAATAAGCTGACTTTGTATAAAATATACAAAAGTATGAAGGCTATTGCTTAACGCCTTGTAAGCCGCCCTAAGTCTCCGGAGAAGGGCGGCATATAAATCAAAATTAAAAAAACAAACAAACTAGGCCTATTGTGTGAGATGTTGTGCCTAAGGAGTTACCGTTTTGAGTTTTTGACTTCCCCTCCTCTACATGTCCCTAGCCACTCATGTCGTTTCCTTTACCTGCAAATGTCCATGACAAGCTCATCCTCCTTGTTGACCTGAGGGTGTTCGGCAATTCCGATGAGGCGGCAGATGATCCATTTCCTTAGCCGTGTGACGCTGTGGTCAGTTACACTGATTGACCGAAAGAAAGCACCACAATGCCATTAACAGCTCTTTCATGTTATTATGTGTTTCTTTACAATCTTAATCTATTGCCTGTCCTCCAGCACCTCTCTAGGCAATTTTAACACATTAAAATAATTTGACACCGTACAAAGGACAATAAAGCCTGCAGGACAGCAATGAAGCTAACATCTATTATCTCCCTTTGGTTATACAAAAGAGTGACTATTAATAATGGGCCAGTATGATGGGACTTGGTTTTTAATGAACCATTTGGGGAAAGAGGCATCTGCTACTCTCAGATGTTCATCACAGTGATTTACAATATTTTCATCAATTTACCTAATTTGCGTAATAGTATCCTTACACAACTGATGCAAGTATCCCAATTGTAAAATTAAAGTTAAATTAATGTATTTTTAACTGCTCACTTAGGTTATTTCCAATGCAACTGATTTGTCCATTAGTTTGGAGGGTACTTGGAGAGAAATATAGCTCATTATATCCAGTCTACTAACTGTAAATCTGTAAATTGAGGTTTTATTACCTTATCACGGAATATCAAATGCTAAGAGGGATAAAATTCAGGCAATTGTATTGAAATTGGGGCACAATGTGATAGATAAAGCTACAGCCTTCCAAATGCTCCCTATCCTGCAATGAATATTCTCCAACCATCCCAAAGGGAAAGAGAGGCTCACCTGCTCGTTCTCTTCTCGTTCTGTCTCTTCGTAGCAAAATCCACACAGCAGTCCAGGTCTGGATTGAGAAACATGTTCTTCAGCCAGTCAATGTACTTTAGCAGAGCAGTGGGAAGAAGATGCCTCACCACTTTCCAGAAAGTGGGCACAACTGGATAACCTTGGTTGGTGAGAGTGGAGAAGGCAACCATCACTGCCAACTGATTCTCAGGGCTGCTGCATCCCTCTAGGAATGAGTCAACGTAGGCGTCCATCTCTGGGGCAAATTTAAACCTCTCAGGCAGCTGAAATACACAGATGGGTGAAGAGGGCTATGACTTAATGACTAAAGATTGTTGCATCTTCCGATATGAAGATGAATTCATTCAAGAATTCATTCATTCATTTGCTTTTATGCATTTATAAGGCTGCCCAACTCAAGCAGGGTTACACACTGGGCAATATGTAACAAAAGCCTTGGTGGTGCAGTGGACTAAGTGCTGTTATGTAGCACTTAGCTGCCAGCTGTCTGCAATTAGTGCGAGTTCAAATCTCACCAGGCTCAAGGTTGACTCAGCCTTCCATCCTTCCGAGGTAGGTAAATTGAGGACCCGGATTGTGGGGGCAATAAGCTGACTTTGTAGAAACACCACTTATGGGGGGGCCAAAAGCCCTAATAAGCAGGTATATACAAAAGAATGAAGGCTATTGCTATAAGTGCATTATAAGCCGCCCTGAGTCTTCGGAAGAGGGCGGCATATAAATTGAACTAATAATAATAAAAATAAAAAGTGACAAAATAATCCCACATCATTGAAGCACATGGTCACACACACATAAATAAACAGGATAATTGAACAATTAAAAGGGGAATCCACTCAAGTGAACCTGAATGCTAAGGGAAAAGGTATCCTAACAGCTTTTCTAAAAAGGAAGATGGAAGGGTTAACCACCAGAGAACCATTGTCAAAACAAGTAGAAATACGCCCTCTATATCATCTGGTCCAGTGGTGAAATCCAATTTTTTTTTACTACAGGTTCTACTACAGAACCTGTAGGCTTGGTGGGCGTGGCAGGGGAAGGATACTGCAAACTCCCCGTTCCCTCCCCACTCCTGGGGGAAGGATATTGCAAAATCTCCATTCCCACCCCACTCTGGGGCCAGCCAGAGGTGGTATTTGCCGGTTCTCCGAACTGCTCAAAATTTCCACTACCGGTTCTCCAGAACCTGTCAGAACCTGCTGGATTTCAGCCCTGATCTGATCCCCAAATTCTTATAATCTCTGATCATGCTAGCTGACGATTATGGGAATCAGATTCCAACAAAGCTGGCTAGTAAAAGAACTCTAACCTAAAATTCCCTAAATTAAGGCAGTTCCCTTAGGTAAGATGCATTGCTCTTAGCAAAGCGCTATGTTCAATCCTCAGGTAGGCCAAAGCAGGGGACACATTAATGAAAGCTAGAAGAGCAACTGCTCGCAGACAACAGCCAGTCAGACCAGTGGTCTGGCTCAGTATAAAGCAGGGGTCTCCAACCTTGGCAAATTTAAGCCTGGCGGACTTCAACTCCCAGAATTCCCCAGCCAGCTTTGGTATAAAGGAAGCTTATCATCCGAACTGATGCCCATTGAACAAAAGGCCAGTTATCACAAAATGAAATAACAGTTCCCACACTGATCTCCCTGCTATTTAGAATGGTTTTCTAAATAGCAATGGGAACAGGTTGTTTTTCAGTTAAGGAGTTCAGTTAGCTCCTTCATGAAAATATACTTTCTGTTTCCTAAAGACCAGCCAATTATAGAAGAGACTCCACAGTTTCAAGCCAGGAATTTCTGCAGCCAGGGACTGCAAGTAGTTGCCACTCAGGAGCAGATTTATATTTAGTTGTTGTACAAAGACCACAGGGACCTGTTCAGTGACATGATGACGACATCCGCAGGTGGAACGTTTGACCCTTCTGAGAAGGATTTTGTGGCAGGTAAAAGTGGAAACAAGTCTGTCTCACTCGAAGACCGAATTCACCCCTTTCAATGTTTACTTTTCTAGGTCTTTCTACTGAAAGTCAGAAATTTTGCCACTGAAGTGTCTGGGGGCCAAACAATAGGGGCTGGTCAGTTGTCCATCAAAATCTGTGGACTGAACCTGGGATATTCTGACTACAATTTTAAATTAGAATAGAATTAGAATAGAATAGAGCTGGAAGGGACCTTGGAGGTCTTCTAGTCCAGCCCCCTGCTCAAGCAGGAGAACCTTTACCATTTCAGACTTCAAGTGACTGTCCAGTCTCTTCTTAAAAACCTCCAGTGATGGAGCGCCCACAATTTCTGACAACAAGCTGTTCCACTGATTAATTGTCCTCACTGTTAGGAAGTTTCTCCTCAATTTCAGATTGCTTCTCTCTTTGATTAGTTTCCAACCATTGTTTCTTGGCCTGCCCTCCAGTACTTTGGAGAATAATTTGACCCCCTCTTTTTTGTGGCAGCCCTTCAAATACTGGAATACTGCTATCATGTCACCCCTAATTCTTCTTTTATTTTAGACTAGCCAAACCCAAAACCTGCAGCCGTTCTTCAATGGTTTAGTGTCCACTCAAATCTCACTGAGATCTCACAACAGCGACTTTACCTTACTCGTGACAACATGGAATCCATACTGACGCATAGCTTCGCCTTGAAGAACCATCTTTAGCTGGCTGAGAGAAAGAAGTGGGAGGACACTGCCCAGCATTCGAAAACACATATAGCTGAAGGAAGAACAGACATTTGGGTCAAAAGGAAATCAAAGTTCAGCAACAGAAATGTGGGACAAGTAAATAAGGCATTCTGCACTGATTCTGGAGGGAAAGTCAGACTGAACACGCTTGAGAAAATCACTGAAGCTGCACGAGAAAATTTACATTTTAAAAAGTATTCAGCAAATTCAAGGTTTATTCCCAATTAAATATCTAAGGATGGTAATTTCAAAACTACTAAGTTAAGATTCTGTTCCTGCCCTCTGGAACATTACCTTGGAACATGGTCCCCAATATTGTTATATACTCATAAATCCAGATCTCATTTTTACTTTTTAAGCAGGCCCTATAGCAAGGTGGTCTATCGTCCCATTCTCTGTTACATATTTGATATAGTTTGTAATTGTTTCTGCTGTTCTCTTGACATGAATCATAGTAACATTATTCTTTGTTACTTGTTTCTCTTCTTTATTTGTATTTTATAAAACCCTTGAGTTACAATTGAATCAATATCCATTCACTGATTACATAAATAAATGTTACTGTTAAAATGGGAATATGAGCATGTGTATGAAAGCATGGGACTGTTAACACATTAATTTTAATATATCTGATGCTGTAACGTCTATGCAGGTAATCCTCAACCTCTGACTTGTCGCTTAGCAACCATTCAAAGTTATGACCTATCTGAAAAAGGGAACTAATGGCCAGGATCTGACGTTCTAATGGTCAGGTCTCCCCCGCCCAACAATCTCATGATCACACTTCAGGTGCTTGCCAACATGAATCTGGCATTTACAATCGTTTGCATCATCCCACAGTCATGTGACCACGTTTTCTCATGCTTCTGACAAGCAAAATCTATGGCTATAATGGCGAACCTGGCACATGGAGCCATATCTGTGGGCACGCGAGCGTTGCCCTAGCTCAGCTCCAGGGTGCATGCGCATGCTGGCCAACTGATTTTTGGGCCTTCTGGGCCCACCGGAAGTCGGGAAACAGGCCGTTTCCGGCCTCCAGAGAGCCTCTGGGGGTGGGAAAGGCTGTTTTTGCCATCCCCAGGCTCCTAGAAAGCCTCTGGAGGGTGAAAAAGGGGCCTACCTGGCCCACCATGCCATTGCGTACCAAAAGCGGAGGGAGTGCAGGGGGGGGTTCGTGCGCGCATCCACGGGGGGGCGGGGCACATAGAATTATGGGTGTGGGCACGTGCGTGCGTGACTCCCCCGCGTTCCCCCTCCTTTTGGCCCTCGATGGCAAAAAGATTAGCCATCACTGGTCTATGGGGAAGCCAGATTCACTTAACAACCGTGTTACTAACTTAACAACTGCAATGATTCACTTAAAAACTGTGGCAAGAAAGGTCGTAAAATGGGACAAAACAACTTTCTCACTTAGCTACAGAAATTTTGGGCTCAGTTGTGGATGTAAGTTGAGGACGTATCTACATTACACCCATTTATTATATTACTCAAGAGTCTCAGCAATCTCCAGAAGAAATAGCCAAATGGATAGATAAGTTCAGGCTGAAAAATAATTCTTTCAACTTACCTGCAGGGTCCGACGTTTTCTTTAAGCAGCCCATTTTCTACGGCTTCTTTCCAGAACAGTTCAAAGGTTCCTTCTCTCAATGCCACTTTCATCAGGTCCAGTCCTACAGCTGGAAGGACTTTGTCCTTCCTCTCTGATTTGGCTGCCATTTTCAAAACTTCCACAATCCTAATGAGAAAAACAACTTCATTATTCTTTTTTGCTCTTGTTATTCCAAAGAGATCTGCTTGCAGGAGATGACCAGGCTGACCCTGAGGGAGGGGTCAAATGCATCATCAGTCATGAGTTCCTTCGTACCCACAAGAGATCTAAGTCCAACCCACCTTGAATTCCTTCATCTTTGTTAAGGAATTCGCAGAGTAACCCTTGAATAGCAAGGGTGTACACATGAAAGCGATTGAGAGTAGGTACGAAGAACCACAGTCAACACACAGAAACACTGAGTTGTGTTTACTTTCAGGAAATAGTAAGGCACAGTCCAATAAACAGTCCAGGTCATACACATATAAAGCAGGAGATAGCAAAACAACAGTCCAGGGATAATCCAATAACAAAATCTTCTTACCAGTCATCGTAGTCATTCACAATAAACAGTTCTTCTGGATTTGGAAAAAGTAGCATACAGAGATATCAGAGAGCAAGAACAGCAAAGAGAAACAAACCATGTTTCTAGCTCCCTCTTAAGGAGATTGGCTACAGAGCTAACCAATCAGGACACAGTATGATGCAATACAGCAGTCTTAAAGCTATATAGATGGTTTATATATTTCCAACCCAACAAGGTACCTCTGTGGGGGCACCTACCCTCTGGAATGAGCTGCCCCCGGAGATACGGCGGATCCCGGATCTTCACACCTTTCACCGTTCCCTAAAGACGTTTTTATTCCAGCAAGCCGGGCTGGCCTAACTCTTTTAAATTGTTTTTAATTTTTAAATTGTTAATTATCAGTCTTAATATAGGGGTATTTTTAATTGTGGGCCAAATTAATTTAGTTGGATTTTAATACTATTTTTAAATTTTGTATTTCTTGTGTTTTATCTGTTGGCTGTTCACCGCCCCGAGTCCTTCGGGAGAAGGGCGGTATATAAATATAAGCAATAAACAATAATAAACAATAAGGTAGGTAATAATCGTTTCCTAACAATCTTTTTGGACTGTTGCCTTCTGGCAGAAGATACAGAACAATTAAAACTTGGACCACACGTTTTCTGAGTAGTTTTTATCCCAGAGCTATAATTGCACTCAACAATGAACTAAAGGGCCACCATCAGTGAGCTGTTGGACAGCATTACTTGGTCTGTTGTGTGGATGTTTGGGTGGTTTAGGGATGGGGAATTTGTGGTGGGTGGGTGGGTGTTTGGGGATTGTCATGTGTGTTGGACCTGATCTTCGGGTGTTAAGTGAATTTCGTTGTATGGGTTTACTGTGTATATATGTAAAATGACAATAAAGTTGTTATTATTATTCTTATCTATTAATTTCCCTTGATCGTTAGTAATTCAGATTCTTGTAGAGAGTTTAAGATTGCAATAAATCTTTACACTCATTTGACCTGCCTGGATCTCCTAATTTCCCTGGTGCCTGACATTAATCTGAACTACTAATAGCCAAGGGAAATTAACAGGAATTAAGAATAGAAAGAATTCAAAAATATGTCTAGTAAATGTTGGAAATGTAACCGAAAATCTGGCACATATTATAATCTGTGATGGACTTGTGCTAAAGCAAAAAAAAATACACATGTGGCTAGAAAAGATGTCAGAAAAACATGTAGAATCTTAAATGTGAACTTTTTTTAATTAGGTATAGTACTAGAAAAAATTGACAAAGTGTATATTTAATATTGCATGTATCAACAACAGTGAGGATTGTACTTGCGCAGCATTGGAAAAATGAAGAAATACCGCTAGATGAAGAGATAATTAAGAAGATACCTGGACTGTGTAGAAATGAACAGACTTACAATGAAGATTAAACAGAAAGAAGATACAGAATACTATCAAACATGGAATTTATTTTATCAATGGCTGGAAAAAAGGGGTAAAGATTAGGAATATAATTTGTATTGTTAAGCAAACAAAATAACCCAGACAACATGATGTTTATTAAGCACCAATTAAATGTAATAGTAGAAAATTAATAAAAATTTATATTAAAAAAAGAATAGAAGGAATTCAAGATGGGTTGGACTTAGATCTCTTGTGGGCACAAAGGGACTCATGACTGATGACGCGTTTGACCCCTCCCTCGGGGTCAGCCTGGTCATCTCTTACACTGTCTTCATTATTGCTGGGAAAAAGGGGAAAAAACCTTAACAAAACAAGGAAGAATTTAGAAAGCAGGCATCTGTTGAACAAAACCCTTGATTCAGCTAACTGGTTCAAACCCAGAGCCAAGTCAAAATGTGTAAACCCAATCAAATATAGATTTCTTAAGCAAACCACAGTTAAAAAGAATCCGTAACTTGCTATGTGCAAGCCTAGTCAGAGACTAGCAGAAATTCTTCCCGACACAGGGATATTTCTTACCCTTTCTTGGGATAATTTAAACATAAAATATATGCTCTACCTCTCCCTTATCACCCTTTCCCTGGAAACAGAATTACAGTAAAAGTAGTCTTTGCCTTACAACCACACTTGGGACTGGAAACTTGGTTGCTAAGAGATATGGCCATTAAGTGAATAATGTGACAACCCAATTTATGAGGGATTTTTTTCCCCCCATATTTGTTAAATGACTCACACAATCAAGTGAATCACATGGTTGTTAAGCCAATCTGGCTTCCCCCATTGATTTTGCTTGTCAGAAATCGGCTGGGAAGGTCGTAAATCATAATCATATGACTACAGGATTCTGCAACTGGCCATAAAAGTGAGCCAGCTGTCAAGGGCTCAAACTGCAATATGTGAACATGATGCCATAACTTCAAGGATAAGTCATTAAGTCCCTTTTTCCATGCCTTTGTAACTCTAAAGTATTGTTAAAACGAATGGTTCTTAGTTGAGAACTACCTGCACTGCGGTCCATTTCTAGTTAGTCAGTTATTTTCAATAGGAAGATAGGAATCTGCCCTATACGTGGGGTGAGAGAGAGGTTTTCCCTGGATGCTTCGTTAGTTTTACTGACCTTGGGATGTTTTGAGCTGTCACAACAGCGGTTGTGCCCAAGAGACCCTTCAGCTTTTCTGGTCCGAGAACTTTGGGGAATTTTTGGATGCCCACCAACAGGAGGTACAATTGACCAGGAGTGCTGAAAGCTGCAGTAAGTTCATCCTCCAAGATATTGTAAAGCACCTTTTCAAATACAGTCTCTGGGATCTGCAAACAACAATGTCCCAGGGGGGGAAAAATGTGGATAAATAATTATCAGCAGACTTTTATCTATGTAAGGCAGGGGTGGGTTCTAAATTTTTTTACTACCGGTTCTGTGGGTGTGGCTTATTTTGTGGGTGTGGCTTGGAGGTCATGTGACTAGGTGGGCGTGGCTAGCTGGTCAGAGTCATTTCTGGAAGGTCCTCACACTTACGACCAGTCCTCGCACTTACGACCCGACTCATTTGTTTGCTTTTAACGCTGATCAGCTGTAGGACGGCCCTTTGAAGCCCCACGGCAAGAGTTTAAACAGTTTTTTTCCCTCTAGTCATCAGCTGGGACTCAGGAGGCAGCAATAGATTGGGGGTGGGACCAAATAAAAGGTAAGAATAACGTGGGGGGGTGGGGGGGTGGGAGGGCGGGGGGGGGGAGAACCGGTTCGGTGACATCATATTGTCACCGCTACCGGCTCGGCCGAACCGGGAGGAACCCACCACTGATGTAAGGTTATATTTTGCCTTTACATCAATGATGTTACGTAGTAGAAATCAGCTACTTCACTAATCAGCAGTGACTGATGGGACAGGGGTAGGTCTTCACCTTTAATGAAAAGAAGGACTAGGGACAACATGATAGCAGTCTTCCATTTGAGGGGCTGCCACAAAGAAGAGGGGGTCTACCTATGCTCCAAAGCACCTGAGGGTAAAACAAGAAGCAATGGATGGAAACTAATCAAGGAGAGAACCAACCTAGAACTAAACAGAAATTTCCTGACAGTGAGAACAATTAATCAGTGGAACGTCTTGCCTCCAGAAGTTGTGGGTGCTGCATCACTGGAGGTTTTGAAGAAGAGATTGGACAACCATTTATCTGAAATGGTATAGGGCTGTGATGGCGAACCTATGGCACGTGTGCTTGAAATGGCACGCGGAGCCATGTTGCCTGGCATGCGCAGCGTCGCCCATTCTATCTGTATCTGTATGACAAGATCGCTCAGATTCGGGAAGGCCTGGCCTCTGACTGGGTAAGTCCGGACGGGATGACTGAGGCAGGTCTTGAGAGTGTTATCTGGGAGGAGTTTGATCCTGTTGCTCCCGAGGACGTGGACAAGATCCTGGGACGGCTGAACGCAACCACATGTTTATTGGACCCGTGTCCCTCCTGGTTGGTACTGGCTTGCCGGGAGGTTACACGAGGCTGGCTCCAGGGGATTGTTAACACTTCTCTGAGTGAGGGGGTCCTGCCAACCGCTTTGAAAGAAGTGGTGGTGAGGCCCCTCCTCAAGAAGCCCTCCCTGGATCTGGCTATTTTGGCTAACTATCGTCCAGTCTCCAACCTTCGCTTCGTTGCGAAGGTTGTTGAGAGTGTGGTAGCGCGGCAGCTTCCCCGATACCTGGATGAAGCTGTCTATCTGGACCCGCTCCAGTCCGGTTTCCGGCCTGGGTACAGCACGGAAACGGCATTGGTCGCGTTGGTGGATGATCTCTGGAGGGCTCGGGATAGGGGTTGTTCCTCTATCCTGGTCCTGTTAGACCTCTCAGCGGCTTTTGATACCATCGACCATGGTATCATGTTGCACCGGTTGAAGGGGGGGGGGCACCGTCCTGCGGTGGTTCTCCTACCTCTCTGACCGGTCGCAATCCATGTTGACAGGGGGGCAGTGGTCGACCCCGAGGCGCCTTGTTTGTGGGGTGCCACAAGGGTCGGTCCTCTCGCCCCTTCTGTTCAACATTTATGTAAAGCCGCTGGGTGAGATCATCCGTGGCTTTGGGGTGGAGTTCCATCAGTACGCTGACGACACTCAGCTGTACATCTCCACCCCAGGCCACCCCAACGATGCCCTTGAAGTGATGTCCCAGTGCCTGGAGGCCGTGCGGGCCTGGATGGAGAGAAACAGGCTCCGACTCAACCCATCCAAGACCGAGTGGCTGTGGCTTCCGGCGTCCCGATATAGCCAGCTGGTACCATCGCTGGCTATTGGGGGCGAATCACTGGCCCCCACGGAGAGGGCTCGCAACTTAGGCGTCCTCCTGGACACACGGCTGTCTTTAGAAGAGCATATGACGGCCATGGCCAGGGGGGCTTTTTATCAGGTTCGCCTGATACGCCAGTTGCGTCCCTTTCTGGATCGGGACTCCCTACGCACGGTCACTCAAGCACTCGTCACTTCCCGCCTGGACTACTGCAATGCTCTCTACATGGGGCTCCCCTTGGGGTGCACCCGGAGGCTGCAGTTGGTCCAGAACGCGGCCGCACGGGGGATTATGGGAGCGACGGGGCGCTCACATATAACACCTCTCCTGCGCGAGCTGCTCTGGCTTTCTGCGGTCTTCCGGGTGCGCTTCAAGGTGTTGGTGACCACCTTTAAAGCGCTCCATGGCTTAGGGCCGGGGTATTTGCGAGACCGCCTTCTGCCGCCGATAGCCTCCCACCGACCGGTTCGCTCTCACAGAGCGGGCCTCCTCAGGGTGCTGTCGGCCAGGCAGTGCCGGCTGGCAACCCCCAGGGGGAAAGCCTTCTCTGTGGCAGCGCCTGCCCTCTGGAATGACCTGCCCCCTGAGATACGCACGATATCAGACCTCCAGACTTTTCGTCGGGCCCTGAAGACACACTTGTTCCATCTAGCTGGGCTGGCTTGATCCCATCCTCTTAGTTTTTTAATCGAATTTCGGTTTTAATTGGGTTGTTTTAAATTCGGGCCAAAATTATTTAATTGTTTTTTAAAATGTTTTTAAATTTTATATGTTATGTTTTATTCTGGCTGTACACCGCCCTGAGTCCCGCAGGAGAAGGGCGGTATAGAAATATAATAAAATAAATAAATAAATAAATTCCTCTTCCGGGTTTCTCATGCACAGGTGCACATGACGATCAGCTGGCCTTTTTTGCATGTGGCAGTGCTGGAATCTGGAAGAGCTGGTCTTCCATTTTCCCGCGTGAGCATGCGCGCCAGGCAGCTGATCATCGCGTGCGCGCCAGAAACCCAGAAGAGTAGCTTGCTGAAACCGGAAATTCAGTAGCTGAAACCGGAAGTTCATTGTCAGGCGCGTGCATGTGCCCTGGGCAGCTCCACTTCCTGGTTGCGGCCCAAACGCACCCACGCTCCCTTTTCAGCACTCAGTGCCGAAAAGGTTTGCCATCACTGGTATAGGTTTTCCTGCTTGAGCAGGGGGTTGGACTGGAAGACCTCAAACGTCCCTTCCAACTCTGTTATTCTTTCTAACGGTATTAGCACCCCATTAGTATCAAGCTGGCCATTACAGTATATGAAACAAAATGTTTAACTAAGATGGGTGGCCTGATCCAGCATCGTTTTCGAAGTTACAATGGCAAGACCAAAGAGCTTTTTGCCAAGGATTGTAAAAGGCAGGCAGACTTGTAAGAGGGAAGACAGCCTTTCAAATACCCTCAGCTTAAATCACGTAGTTTTGTGATCTGGACAAACAGTTTAAAACTGTAACAAGTGAATCATATATTCTTACAATAACGATCAACAGTCTGAACCTTTTTCTTCTTAGGTCTATTGGTACCTCTCTCTCATTGGTGGCTAACGTCACAACAGTTACAAAATAATTTGCCCTCACTTCTCAACACTGTAAATAGAAGCAGCAATGATGTGTGCATACAATTGGTCATTCTCCACCTTCTTACCTTAAAGCAGATGTTTTACGAAAGCTTTTAACAAGGTCCCCTTTTTTGCAATTATCCTGTCTTCCTTACCTCAGAAACAATGTCAACTAATGTCTTCCTTGGGAGGTCCTTAAGATGGGCATAGTGGTCAGAAAGGCTCTGCAGAAGATGGACACACTCAAGGAGAGCCTTGGAGTCCTAGGGAGATCAAAAACCAGGCTTTATAGTGCATCTTGTTGAACCCAGCCAACCCCAATTTGTTTAGCAAAGCTGTTCTGTCCCCGTCCCACACACGCACCCCCACAGACGGCCCGGAGTTAATAAGCCACACGACAAAGTCTTTGAAGATAAAGCTGGCAGCAACCCAGTGGCTAGCTGCCAATTCAGACTTTACTCACACAAAACAAAGATTAGACTGCAAGCATTCCGATAAAGCAGGCAAAGTTTCAGCAATACAAGGATTAGTCCAAATGCAGTCTGACAAGGCAGGCAGAAGTCCAGTAACGCAGAGATCATGGCTTATTTCTAGTTTTTGCTCGTCACAAACTGAACCGGCCACCACACCCACATTTATACCCTGTGAGGTGTGGTCCAGTGACTCAGCTAATCTCTGGCACGCCTTCCCCTCTGCTGCGCACGCTTCTCCCTGCACTGCTGTCGAGGATCCAGCCAGCACTTATCTCCTTCGTCGCTGTCCACCTGTGGCTGCAGGGACGTGCTTGGCTCTGGGCCTATCGCTTGGCCTTCGGTGTCCTCCGGAGGCATTGCCAGAGAGGAGGGTCTTGGAGAGGGAGACCTTGCCAACTCCACTCCCTCACTCTCAGAGTCTGCATATGTCAATAGCCCAGGCTCAGGCAACGGAGCCACAACAAAAGCATGGTAACACTAGGCATGTCATTGGCAAAATCACAAAATTGCATCTCACTTGCTTGGCCATGTTATGCAGGGGAATTCAGTAGAGAAAGCAATTATGTTTGGAAGAGTTAGCGGTAAAAGGAAACCAGGCATCAAAGAACACGGTGTCAGGGTTCCAAGTAACATACCCACAGCAAACAAAACTCTGAGGCAGGTAGATTCCTCAAAGTATAAGTTTATTGGATATGTCATATTGGCACAGGCTGGCAAAAACTGACTCTGATTATTCCCACGGTTTTCATCTAATTAAAAGTAAGTTTTCCACTTTCTCAAAACAATCAGTCACATGGTCCAATCAGGATTCTGTCCAGTTGCTAGGTGACTCCAGTCCCCTCCTTCTGAGCACCTGCAGGAATGTCCTTGGTTCCCAAGAGAAAGTATTTTGCTTCGACTACATCACCCCAACTATCTCCATTCCCCCCTCCCTATCCCTCTCCTTCAGTGTGTCAGCGCTGAAATCTCAAAATGGCCTCAGTCAGGCCAGCTTCAGGGTTGACACACGGTGGCTGGACACCATTAAATCTGATACCAGCAGAGCATAGAAAAGCTCAAAGATGCCGTGCAAGAACAGAAGATGTGGAGAAACCTGAAATAATTCTATAACATTACCTTGGACAGGCGCCTGGATTGGAAGAGAGCTAGCACTCCAAAAAAGTTTCCAAACAGAGCGTTCCTGAAAAGTTTCTGAAACGACAGAACACACCAGGAATGTTGGTTACAAACATAGTCAGAAGTGTGATGAATTGGGGGAATGGTCTGACATTTTAACCCAGGTTCAGTCACAAATGCTTGGAAGCACCTGACCTTAAGAAAATGTCTATCTTAAAATGCTCAAATGCTTTAGCTGGTGTTTCTTCAAGACTTTCAACCTACTTCTGACTTCAATAAATACTTCGACTGCAAAATGTGGGGTTAAAGTTACCGTAGTTTTCGGAGTGTAAGACACACTTTTTCCCCCTCTAAAAGAGGGTGAAAATTTGGGTGCGCCTTATACTCCAAATGTAGCCCCGCCCACCCACCGGCCTCCAACCTTTTGGAGCTTTTGGAGGCTGCAAATGCAGCATTCCAAACAGAAAGCCTCTCAAACAGCTTCCAAAAGGTCCATTTGAGAGGCTGCCTTTGCAAAGAGAAGCTCCTTTGCAAACGGAGCTTTTGGAGGCTGCAAACGCAGCGTCTCAAATGGAGAGCCTCTCAAGCAGAATTTTTTTTTTCTTATTTTCCTCCCCCCAAAATAAGGTGCGTCTTACACTCCGGAGCGTCTATACTCTGAAAAATACGATAGTACCACAGTTCCTTGTAGCAAAGGCTGCTGTACCGAGTTGTCCTTTCTGCTTTAGCTGCTCTTGCCTTCTGGCAGCTCTTTGCATGCATGCACTAGGAACAGGCTTCTCTTGTTCCTCTGCCTCTCTGCTATCCGCTTCTGGAGGCTCCAGAGTCCATGCATCGCTCCCAGATGGCCCTGGACCCATCTCTGCTCCGAAGCAGAGCCCTCGTCCAGGCCTTCCCCTGACTCCAGGACTGACTCATTGTCCTCCCCAGCCTCCTCACTGTCCAACTCCGCTGCCAGCTCCACAGGCTGCTGGCGGGCCACAACAACTGGAGTCTTAGCTTGGCATGTGGTGAGCAATAGAGTAAAAGGGTGTTTTAGCCAGCATTACTGGCTTCTGCTAGCCAGCTGGCTATACGGACTCAGCATGCTCCACCCTCCTGTTCCTGGTTGCTCCCGGCTGGCTCCAGCAAGTACTCTTCAGACTTGGATGGCTTCTGAACTGACCGCAGCTGGCTTGCCTTCCTCTCCCAGCCTGAGTCCCATCACCCAAAACCCATCTGTGGCCCCATGCATCGTGTATGGCACGTGTATGGCAACTCCGAAACGGCGTATTGTGGCCACTTTAAATGGCACACTGTCTCGGACGTTGACACTGAAATTGTAAACAAATCAACAGTCTCACCTTCTTCACTCTACCGAGATCATATTTTTCCTTAATCTGTTGCAGAACTGTCAGGAGAGTCAGCTGCTCAAAAACTTGCAATACCTTGAAAAGAAAAAAATATAAAGAGAGAAAGCTGCAGAACATTCAGAATAAGTTACAGGGCCATTCTTGAAAGGGCGAGATATTTTTTGATTCCTATTCTTGACCTGTGCCAAACCTGTGACTACATTTACAGTTCCCCTTTTTTTGATAAAAAGAGTTATTTTCTTCTAAAAGTTCTGTCTGGGCTCACATATCACTAGACTACCGCAAGCATCCGTCTTGGTAATTTGTTGGCTGGATGAGTGAGTCATGGTTGACTGAAAATGTCTCCGAACAGCAGAGATGGCAACTGTTGTGAAGAATAAAGAATTAACCTTTGGAGAACAAGAGAATGAGAGATCTCCACAAGCACTCTGAATGACAGCTCCTCACAAAGGAACTGTAAAACAGCTATGTCCCCTGGTTTTGAGCACCAGAAGCCAAGGGAAATGACATTAGTGGAGCCTTTAATAAGGACACGATGCCAGCTAAATTCACTTTCTAATCAAATTTGGAAAGGTTCAATTGAACTGCTTTATATGGCTAGTAAAGGTAAAGGTTCCCCTCACACATATGTGCTAGTCGTTCCCGAATCTAGGGGGCAGTGCTCATCTCCGTTTCAAAGCCGAAGAGCCAGCAGTGTCCGAAGACGTCTCTGTTGTCATGTGGCCGGCATGACTAAATGCCAAAGGCGCACAGAACCCTGTTACCTTCCCACCAAAGGTGGCCCCTATTTTTCTACTTGCATTTTTTACGTGCTTTCGAACTACTAGGTTGGCAGAAGCTGGGATAAGTAACGGGAGCTCACCCCGTTATACGGCACTAGGGATTCGAACTGCTGAACTGCCAACCTTTCGATCAACAAGCTCAGCGTCTAAGCCATTGAGCCACTGCGTCCCTTACTATGCTTACACAGTCCCTTACACCTTACACTGCATCCCTTAATATGGCAATTAGACAGTGGTGAAATGTAAAATTTGTTACTACCAGTTCTGTGGGCGTGGCTTGGTGGTGGTGGGTAATGTGACTGGGTGGGCGTGGCCAACTTTTTTTTTAACTTTTAAAAGCATTTTTTCTACAACCTGAAGAGGTTGCAGAAAAAAATGCTTTGAAAAGCCTCTGACGATCCCAACTGAGCCGCGCGATCATCAGAGGCTTTTTTTTTACTTTTAAAAGCAATTTTTCAGCCGAAGTGGTTGTAGAAAAAATGCTTTTAAAAGTAAAAAAAACCAGCCTCTGATGATCGCGCAGCTCAGCTGGGCATGGGGGGTGGGTAGGGATTTTTGCTACCGGTTCTCCGAACAACCCGCCACCATCACTACTGGATCGGGCGATCCAGTCCGAACCAGGAGCATTTCACCCCTGCTATTAGAGACCTTCAAAAGAAGAAGCTTAATTTGAAAGCTGGTAAGTTTTATCTTCTTTAAGGAATTTTAAACAGATGTTCAAGAGTTTAATATAGAATTGCAAAAAGGAAAAAAAGATTTTTAAAAAGTTTCAAATGGCCTGAGAAACCAGAAAGATTTGGAATACTGATTATTGGTGCTGTAGGATATTAAAAAAGCAAATATATAATTAAATAATATACCTGTAGGAGATGACTGAAATGGAATTAAAACCCATATTAGGAAGCTAATTATGTGGCTTGTAGAAGTTTGCAAATGAACACTAGAGGGAACTAAAGGACCAGGCAAAAAAAGTTAAAATGGCTAAGTTAGTTATAACTTTTACTTGTCTCAAAGAATCCTTCAAAAATGGACTAAGATATTAACAACTAATATCTCAAAATTTATTCAAATTTCAATGATTAAACATTTGCTGAGAATTTTTTTAAAAAATAACTCTTAAACACAGACATTATAGAATTTAAGATACAGAAGGCAACAAAACAGAGTTTATCAAAATGGGAATACAAAAGACAACATCAAGAAAATTATATGGTCATGGAATAGCTATGATAAGGAATTCTAGATGATGCCTTTCTATGGGATTTTACAAAATAGATTGGGGACAACTTTGAAGCCTTTTTTTGAATGTCAATGATTGATGAAAGATCAAATCTTACAACGCCATTGAAATTATTTAATTGTGAAGAGCGAAAGGAAGGAATATAAAGTTGGACTATTTGATCAGAGATAAACAATGTGTTTTGTTTTCTGGTAACTCATAATAGACTTTTTGCTGAAATAGGACTGAAAAGAGGATGACTCGTGGATTGTGTATGGATAAAAGTGAGATTTGGGAAATAAAGAGGGATTGTAATTTTAAAAGAGGGTAAAAATGTACTGTAGTAGCTTATGCTTGATGTCGTGAAGGTTGCAAGCTATTTCTTTATTATTTTTTTGTTTATTTTTTTTCTTTTCCTTGTACCTTGTAGATTTTCTTTTACTTTTCTTTTTCCTTCTAGTTTAATTTATATTAGCTTTTACTATGTTTACCAAAAATGTCAATAATAATTTGTGTGTGTGTGTGTGTGTTTTTCATTGAGGAACACCAACCTGTGCTAATGCCAAACTGAATCCAGGACGGGCCACTTCTCGGGTTGCTCCCAATCCGTCAATCAAACGCTTCAATGTATACTTTAAAAACTCATCATCCTAAAAGAAATTGCAAAGACATCCAAAGGGAATAAATTGGCATAGAAACTGAGTTTACCAACCATGCTATGTCATAACAGCTTCTTGGCTTTTAATATGCTACAGCTCATCCAATTCAATTTTATTCAATAAATCAAGCAACCCACACAGTAGGGAGATTTATGTGCAAGATCAAAAGATTCTATTTTAATACTAAAAACAAGTTTCACAAATGCTGCATTGCAGTGACTTAATTTTCCACCGTTTCTCCCCAGTAACATTTGTAAAATATGGGTAGAAAAGAAAAATCCGGAGGAAGAATTAAATTAAGCTTTTTTAAATCACATCATAATTCTTTCTTCATTCTTTTCAATACAATAGTGTTGGAAATAAATTGTGTAAACAGGGTCAGTGCAACCCTGTTTTTCTGTCAGTGCAACAACTCCAAAAACTGAACAGAACAGACCAGTTGTGGTAACAGCTGAGGACAGAAACTTAGCAAAGAAACAGAGTTTAAAGTTTAGAATAGAATAGAATAGAATAGAATAGAATAGAATAGAATAGAATAGAATAGAATAGAATAGAATAGAATTCTTTATTGGCCAAATGTGATTGGACACACAAGGAATTTGTCTTCAGTGCATAAGCTCTCAGTGTACATAAAAAATACATTCATCAAGAATCATAAGATACAATACAGGGAACTAAATAAGCAATCAAATCATACTAGGAAACCAAATAAATCAATATAAATCGTAAAGATACAAGCAACAAGGTTATAGTCATAAGTAGAAGAGATAGGTAATAGAATAGTAGTAAAGTAGAAGAACAATAGTAATACAGTCTTAGTAATAGTTTGACAGTGTTGTGGGAATTAGTTGTATAGCAGAGTAATGGCATGCAGGGAAAAAACTGTCCTTGTGCCTAGTTGTTCTGGTTAAATCTTTTTTTAAAAAACTATGGGTTTAAAAATGGGCTGTGATGGGATGCTGCCACTTTAACAACCGGTTCGGTGATTGTGGCTTTGTGCGCGTGCATAGTTTTACAAATACTAACCTTCTGTGTTACCACTTGGGAGTAACACAGCTGAGGCACTCTGCCGCACCAATCAGCTGAGAAGATAAAGGTAAGTAAAGCGCAGGGGTGGGGAGGCGGGCCGACCTGATCGTCAGAGTGAACCTGTTCACTCCCAGCTGATCGTCGGAGCTACTGGTTCGCCCGAACCGGTCCAAACCAGTAGAATCACACCCCTGGCTGGATCTGGCTAGGGAATGTCAAAGCATTATATTAAAAAAATCCCCAATGCACTCTTATGGGAGAGGTAATTAGGCAGTGGCTTAGTTACAATACTTCCATTGTAAGCCCCCCTCCCTTCTGGTCATGTAACCCAGAGCATTTCATGCCCCTGTCAGAGTCTGATTCTGAGATGGAAGAGGAACATCTGACAGAGAGCGAGAGAGTAGCTCCATTGGCTGTGGAGGAAACTGGGGAAAGGCAAAGTGAGGCTGGGTAGAGCAGGGGAGAGTTAGAACAGGAGAGAGGAGGTTCTGATGAAGACCAAGGGCCACCCCCTCCTCATCCTAGGGAACGCAGAGAAAGAACGGAGAAGAGAGCAACGTGGGTTGTGTGGTTTACGAGGGAGGAAAGGGCCCCGATCCCCTTCACAAGATACACCTGGAGCTGGAGTTTAAAAGGAGAGGCAAATGGGAGGGACAGTTGTTGGGAAACAAATGCTGAGTTTATGTTTGTGTTGACTGCTTTATCTGAGTTCTTGGCATCCTCCCAACTGGTTTAATTTACGGCCATGCTATTTCAATTCTGGAATTCCTTATCTTGCTTGCCCTGCCGGATTAATTACCTTATCTTGCCCTGTTGGATTTATGGTTGGAAGTTTTGTCTCCTTACAGGTTTGTGGAAGGGTTTTTCTCCATACCGGAGAGTAAAGGGCCGTTGGGGGCAAAGTTTGGAGCTAATAAAGGGACTTGTACTTATTTTCTGGCTGTGTTGCCTTTGTGCCACGCCCCGGGTCATCACAAGCAGATCTTATGTAGCCTATACAGTACTTCCTTGTACACATAAATATACAAACAGAAATATGTGTAAGACAAGGAGGTAGTACACACACACACACACACACACACACACACACACACACACACACATAGAGGCAACACATTACTTTGTTACACAGAAAAACCAGAAAATTCTTATTGTCACTATTAGTACAGGTAGTCCTCGACTTAAAACCATATATTTAGTGACCATTTGAAGTTACAACGGAACTAAAAAAAAGTGACTTATGACCGGGTTTTACACTTATGGTCACTGCAGCTTCCCCATGATTGCACGATCAACATTTCGGGCTCTTGGCAACTGACATGTATTTATGACAGTTGCACTGTCCCAGGCCATGTGATCATCATTTGAAACATTCCCAGCCGTCTTCCCACAAGCAAAGTCAATGGGGGAAGCCAGATGTGCTTAACGAACACATGATTCGTTGTAGTGCTTCACTTAACAACCGTGGGGAAAATGGGGCAAAACTCATTTAACAACTGGCATGCTTTTGGGCTCAACTGTGGTCATAATTTGAGGACTACCTGTAAACAGTTTAGAACTGAGATGATCTAGAAATTAGGAAGTATTAGTAAAACGGTATTAAATATACAATGTATGTAAAGTAACAGATATACCCGGTTTCCCCGAAAATAAGACATCCCCTGATAATAAGCCCAATTGGGCTTTTGAGCACATGTGTTAAAATAAGCCTCCCTCCGAAAATAAGCCCTCCCCGAAAATATTTAAACGCAGAGCTGGAAATCAGATAAGACGGCAAGAGGAGCCCCATCTTGCTCCACGCACCCCAAAATAATAAGACCTCCCTGAAAATAAGGCCAAGTGCTTACTTCAGGGTTCAAAAAAATATAAGACTATGTCTTATTTTCAGGGAAACATGGTAGTAGTATGCATAATAAGTAAGGAGTAGTATATACAATATGTAAGGAATAAGGGAACCACAAATATAAATATGTATTAGTAAAATGGTTTTAAATATACAATGTATGTTAAATAATATAAATATATTGATATAATAGTATGTATAAATAAGTAAGGAGTAGAATATACAATATGTAAGGAATAAGGGAACCACAAATATAAATATGTGAATATGTACGGGAGGAAAATATAAATTGTGAATATATATTGATACGGAACTGTTGCAAAATGGAAATTTTGTTTGTTCGTGTTTTTAAAGAAAAAAATAAATAAATTATTAAATAAATAAATTAAAAAAAGAATAGGGATCCCCAACCCCATGGACTGGCACCGGGATCCCATCCGTGGGATGCAGGAAGCATGAGAAACCACGCCTCTCTTCGTGGATCTAATCCCTGGTGCTCAAAACGTTGGGGGCCACTGGTTTAGAAAGAACCCCAGATGCTAGACATAAACTTTTTAAAAGCCAGTATTACAAAATTAAAGATAAATGAAAAAACAAACCAGCCAAAAAGAAAAGAGAAAAAATAATTAAAATGTATAACTTATGAATGCAGAATTGTTAACATAAACATAATTGAAAAGTTATACAGATTAATTACCAACATCTAATATATTTATCCAAAATGACATTTGTGTAGAAAGGAGGCAATATACCAGGAAAAAGCATATTATTACAACTGATATATGATGTTTGAATTTGACTAAAGTTAATTTTTACCATGGAAGTTTTCAAACATTTCTGTCACTGGTTGAATTGTTGCATCAAAACAATTTCACACACTTTAAAATACCTTTGATCTAGTGACAACTTATGCATTGTTTGGCAATAAGAAATCTGGCTGCTAACAAGAGATCCTGAATCTATGTTTTAATTGCTGTAGAACATAAAGACAATAATCCTATTGTAAGATTCATCTTAAACAGTTTTTCTGTGATTTTTTCAATTTCATCAAAAACTTTTGAACAAAAGCTAATTGGCCAGTGCCACCAAAGATAAAACAAATACCATTTTGTTTATACCCTTACCAATTTAAATAGATTTTATTTCTAAAGTAGTGCTGTAATCCCCAAATGAATTGTTTTTGTTGCCATTTGTTGATACACAGTGAAATGGATTATTAAGAATTATATACTATAAAGTGTTTCAGACAGATTCATTGTACAAAAACAAATTATGTTCACAATATTTTTAAATGCCTTCTAAACAGTCTTTTGTAATTGATAGGAATGCATTCTATGAAATGGATGAAATTATTATTAAACTAATTATACACCAATTCTCCAATATTTTTAATGAGCTGAGATGAACTGAGATGACCTATATGATTCTTTAAAAAGCATAATATTAGGTTTAGTTGAAAAGGAGTTGGATCTTTTTTCTATTCCTTTATCATAACCTACCGAAATTGGTAATATAATTATAAAGTTATCACCACTGAATACAATAACATTCAGGGCTAATAACTTTATTCCCTGCTTTGTTTTGTTTTTTAATTTGATTTATATGCCGCCCTTCTCCGAAGACTCAGGGCGGCTTACAATGTGCTCAGCAATAATTAATTAGATACCTAACTTAATAAATTCCTCTATCCTCCATTCCTTAAACTGAGCAAATTTATTCTCATACCAGAATGGTGGATGGCATATAGATTAGAAACCAACCATATTTCCATTTTATTGAAAATTTCTAAGGATGATTTAAAATATTGATTCATAAAATACAGTAGGTTTTTTTTTTTTAAATGAAATTATATAGCTCAAACTGAAGGTGAATTAAGTACCAGTTCAACTAATACAGGTAGTCCTTGTCTTACAACAGTTCATTTAGTGACTGTTTGAAGTTACGGCATTGAAAAAAGTGACATATGACCATTTTTAACACAACCATTACAGCATCTCCATGATCAAGTGATCAAAATTCAGGCACTTGGCAACTGACTCATATTTATGACGGTTGCAGTGTCCTGGGGTCATGTGATCACCTTTTGCAACCTTTTGACGAGCAAAAGCAATGGGGGAAACTAGATTCACTTAACAACCATGTTACTAACTTAAGAACTTCAATGATTCACTTAACAACTATGGTTTAAAAAAAAATGGGGCAAAACTCAGTTAACAAGCATTTGCTTAGCAACATAAATTTTGGGCTCAATTGTGGTCACTAAATCGAGGACTACCTGTACCACAATCTGTTTTAAATCTTCCTAATCACATGAATTGTCTGAACTGAAAGAAATTTTTAAATCCTTTTTTCTCGGATATTGCTATCCGAAAAAAAAGTTTTTTTTATTTTGTTTATACTGAGCAGCTTATCTGATTCTATGACTGATATAAGGATGCCTTATGTTCCTTATATTTTATTAAGCTACCAGTGAGCATTGATCCTAAAAGAGTTTGAAAAAGAAGCTTTTTGGAAGGGGCGATTTTCCCACTAGATCCATGACAACCCTGTAAAAGGAGAAATCCCACAGAGTTGCTTCGAAGCAAAATGGGTGGCAAATAAATTTAATAGACAGCCAGAGGTACCTGTGGGTGGAAGTAATCTACTCTCCACCAGGAGAGTTCCCTGGGTTGGTTTTTATCAGGCTTCCTCAACCCTAGATCTGACGTGGGGCAATGGTGAAGGTGCTGGACTAGGGGTAGGGAGAGCCATTTTGTACCCACTCTCAGCCGTTATAGTTCCCAGGGCAGCTTGGGGCCAATTGCATTCCCTCAGCCTATCTACCTCACAGGGTTGCTGTTGTGGGGACAAACCAGTGGTGGGATTCAGCCAGTTCGCACCACTTCGGGAGAACTGGTTGTTAACTTTCTGAGCAGTTTGGCAAATTGGTTGTTGAAAGAAATCATTAGGGCAGAGAACCTGTTGTTAATTTATTTGAATCCCACCACTGGGACAAACAGAATAGAGTGGTATGTGTAAGCAAGATGGATGGACTAGTATAGTGGCGGAGGGGAAGAATTGAAAGAATAGATTAGGATAGTGTATGTCAACCTTGGCAACTTTAAAGTATTTGAACTTCAACTTCCAAACTCCCCAGCCAGCTAGGAGTTGAAATCCAAATATCCTAAAGTTGACAGATCACTGCCTCAGGGATAGATCCATATGGAGAAAATCTTACCTATGTGACCATTAGGAATCGACAACTATTAGATGCAGGGTGGATTTGATTTAAATCGAGTTGATTAAAATCACAATTAAAATCATGATTTAAATCACTAGTAAAAAGGCTTGATTTAAATCAACTCGATTTAAATCATAATTTTTAAAGAGCAACTGTCATCTCTGCTACTCCTTTGACCCACTGTTGACTCACCGATAGTCCCAGTGTTGCAGAATATACAGTCTCATGCTACATAACTAAGCTCCATTTCATGCTGAATAAACTAAATTATTTATGTATCTTAAATAGAAAACTATCTTACGATAGATTTTTACCCCAAAAGTTTATTAAAATAAATTCGATAAAAATCAAAAAAATCCGATTTAAATTAAAAAAAATCTGATTTAAATTTTAAAAAATCTGATTTTTTTGATTTTTTTAAAAAAAACATTGATTTTTATCCACCCTGATTAGATGGCATATCATCAATCCACTATGCGCTACCCATTATCCTCCTGTACAAAAAGTCTGTAGAGATTCTCAGTCATCCAGATCATAGTTGTCCCAAAGGTGCTTTTTCAGGAGGCCACTGGACTTCCTTGGTTTTTTTTTTCTTTTGAAGACATATCGCTTCTCATCCAAGAAGGATTCCCCACTATCCTGTCAAGAGCTGAAGAAGCCTCTTGGATGAGAAGCGAAACGTCCTCAAAAGAAAAAAAAAAACAATCCAAGGAAGTCCAGTTGCCTCCTGAACAAGCACCTTTGGGACTCCTGTACAAAAGCTACGATCATAATCTAATAAATAGAATGTCTCCTCTTAAAGCCCCCTGCCATTTTTCCCTCCCCATCCCGGCAACTCCTGTCTTCCAACACCCTTGGAAGCCGCCACCGACAACCGTGCTTCTGAGCGCGTCCAAAGTGCAACCTGAAAAGAGCTAAAGATCTCAGACCTAGCATCATAGGGAAAAGGACTCCTAAGGCTCTCTTCAACCGCAAGCACTTCCCCCGGGATCAACGCCCGATGCCTTACTTTCTTGTTTTCCTGCAAGTAGTTCAGCAGCCCCTCCGTGGCCTTCAAACGGATCGCCTGATCGGGCTTGGCGATGTCCCAGAAATAGTCCAGAAACTGCCGACTCTGCCCCAGGAGCCTGCCCGGCTGCGAGATCGAGGCCGAAGCGAGGCGTCCCGCCGCCTGCCCGCTCTTCAGGCTGCCATCGCCAGCCATGCTGGTTGCAGAGGCTGCACGTGGAAAAGCCCCCGTGATGCACCAGAGGAAGCACGTGGAAACCTCCCCTTCCGGGTTCAGGAAAAGGAAAAAGCTGCATCCCGCCTCCTTCCCACGTCCCTAAGTAGCAATCTCTTGCTCAGAGGCGAGATTGGCATCTTTGGACCCGGTTTCACCCTTTTCCAATCCGTATTCTCCAGATCCCTGGGAACTCCAACTCCTATGATCCTCAGCCGGTGGTTATTTCGAGAAACGGTGGTTTCAGCGGTGGTTTAGCCCAGTGTTTTGAATAGCATGGAATGGAATGGAACGGAATGAAGAAATTATGAAGAAAATGTGTGACTGTGCTGAAATGAGTACATTGATATTTGAAATAAGAGAACAGGAAGATAAACAATATTATTTGATATGGGATTTATTTTATCAATGGATAGATAATAAAACATGGAGATGAAATATGATATATGAAATGAAATTTAAGATAAAATGTGTAAACACTTGTTTTTTGTCAGGGGAAAAGAACATGTGTCATATATTGATATTTTGAAGATTTTGGGAGCACAAAAGGATTTTAACCGACTGAAACACTGTCTGTAATTGTTTGAAAGGATGATGTTTTTATGTTTTTGTTTGAAAATAAAAAAAGGTTAAAAAAAAAACACACAAGTTTCTCACAATTGAGAGACAAATTTACATATACAGTACATAAACGTCACCTATTAACTAATTTCCATGTGTGTGTGTGTGTGTGTTTTTTTTAAATGTTCTTTCTTTTAAACAATAAAGTTTATTTAAAAAAAAAGGTTAAAAAAATAATAGAATAGAATAGAATAGAATAGAATAGAATTTTTTATTGGCCTAGTGTGATTGGACACACAAGGAATTTGTCTTGGTGCATATGCTCAGTGTACATAAAAGAAAAAGATACGTTCATCAAGAATCATAAGGTACAACACTTAATGATAGTCATAGGGTACAAATAAGCAATCAGGAAACAATATCAATATAAATTGTAAGGATCCAAGTAACAAAGTTACAGTCATACAGTCACAAGTAGAAGGAGATCGGTGGTGGGAACGATGAGAAGATTAATAGTAGTGCAAACTTAGTAAATAGTTTGACAGTGTTGAGGGAATTATTTGTGTAGCAGAGTGATGGCGTTCGGGAAAAAACTGTTCTTGTGTCTAGTTGTTCTGGTGTGCAGTGCTCTATAGTGTCCTTTTGAGGGTAGGAGTTGAAACAGTTTATGTCCAGGATGTGAGGGGTCTGTAAATATAAAGTTTTATATTTATATAATTTATATAAAATATAAATTATAAAGTAAGTTGTTTTAAGAATTCCCCCAGCCAATGGGAATTGAAGTCCGCACATTTTAAATAGAATAGAATAGAATAGAATAGAATAATAGAATAGAATAGAATAGAATAGAATAGAATAGAATAGAATAGAATTCTTTATTGGTGTGATTGGACACACAATGAATAAAGGCTCTAGGATTGAGATGTGGATGAAGGGAAGGTGCACAGATCTCTAGGGCAGCCAGCTTTAAAAAAAAAAAAACCTTGGCAGCTTTTGATTGTATCAGCTGGATTTACAAGACACAAGGATGATAAACCAGCTATCTCGTTTTGTTAGCTCAAATTAGATGTGTAAGTTACTATGATTAGTTGCACCGACTAGTTGTTGAGACTGGCTTTGGGATTTTTATTCACCTGTTGGGGTCCTTGGTGCTCTCTGAGCTTGGTGGTTTAATTGGAGACGTTTTATTACCTGACTACAGGTAACATCAGTTCCTGACAGATGGTGAATTTTCTCAGTGTTGATGGTTGTTCAAGTTGTGCTCCAGATGTGTTGGGATTGCACCAAAGGCTCTTATTGATATTATTGATATGATTGGTACTATCTTCGCTTTTTTTTTGCCACAGTCATTCTACTTGAAGGTCTTTTTGTGCTTTTCTCCAGATTGTTATTATAGTTGATTGTCCCAAAGGTGCTTTTTCAAAAGGCAGCTGGACTTTCTTGTTGTTTTCTTCTTCCTTGAAAACATTTTGCTTCTCATCCAAGAAGCTTCTTCAGTACTTTGCTGATCTGAGCAATGACCTATATCTGGTATAGGTTTCTGTACATTGTGTCTCACTGTAGGAAGTTAGCACCCACCCCTCTCCTAGGAAAATGAGATATTGTAGGAAATATTAAAAGGGCAGAATAGTTTCCCTAAAAGGCAGGCAGAAACTCAGCCCCTCCCACCTTTTTCAACGGCCATTAAGGCCTGGGCCAGTCTATTCTACAAAACAAAGATCTACCTCCTTTAAACAGAGCCATAATAGGAATTGCCCAAAACCCCTTCATTACATCATCACCCAGCAAGGCTCAACCAAGCCTGGGACACAGACAACCTACAAAGTTACCCCTACATGGCCCCATGGGAGTCTGACAAGCAATCAGAATACAAGCTCAAATTCAAAAGCCCAGAGAGGGCATAAAACCCAGGCACTCTCAGCATCTCTTCCCTTTTTTTTTTCTTCGCCCAAGATCCTCAAGGCATGTGATCCTGTTCATCAATAAACCTTCTTTCCAAGCAATCTCCATGTTTCCAGTGTCTTTCTCTCCACTTGGAACTGAACCCAGATGGACATTTCTTCCAACATCACCATATTCTTTATGGGAGAGACACTCTTCATCTGGCTCCTCTGATGAGTCCTGTCCAGTATGATGAATGCCTGGCATAGCTCTCATCCTCCTCAGAACATGCAAACCCCACAAGGTAATACCTACTATTATTAAGTCTTTTTATCCTAACTTTTTATATTTAATTCAAGGCAACAAACATACCCAATACTCCTTTCTCCTCCTATTTTCCCCCACAACAACCCTGTATGGTGGGTTGGACTGAGAGAGAGGGATTAACTCTTAAGTCATCCAACAAGTATTTGTGCCACCTAGAACTCACATTCTCCTGGTTATCAAGCTATTTCAGCATTTATTGATAGATATACCTGGTTTTTGATAGAGGAAATCAAAGAAACTGCTGGAGGAGTTTAAAGCTGTGAGTCAAATCAAAAGAAAGAAAGAATTAAAAGTTCCCAATTCTTTATTTAGAGTAGAGGGCTAATAAAACTCTCAAGGATGCTTTCATGTCAACCCTTCTTCAATCTTAAAAATCTGTCTTGTTCAAATAGTCATTATACAACTCATTAAGCAGTAAAATTATTTGTCTCGCCATGATGATCGAGGCAAACACGTTTTGGCAATTTATATAAGCATTTTTAGGGTGTTAGTATAGGTGAATTTGCAAACTGTAGTTTATTAAATAAACCATGATTAAGCAAGCCATCACCAGCACAGTGTGGCTCATACCTGGGCCATATATAGGACTTCCTCCATAGACAAGATCAAAACAGCTGCTATGTTTCAGCAACAGTGCGGATCTATTGATTCAACATGTTTGCAGTGCAATACATTAGGATTAATGTCTATGGAGAGTCTCAGTCATCCAGGTCATGGTTGTCCCAAAGGTGCTTTTTCAAGAGGTAACTGGACTTTCTTTGTTTTTTCCTTGAAGACATTTCACTTCTCATCCAAGAAGCTTCTTCGGCTTCTTGACTTGAAGAAGCTTTTTGGATGAGAAGTGAAACGTCTTCAATGAAAAACAAAGGAAGTCCAGTTGCCTCTTGAAAAAGCACCTTTGGGACATTAGGATTAGCTTTGTCTATGCAGTGCTGTATGGGAGAAAGCCATCTCTGGCACATTTAAAGGTTTTTGGAAGAAATGTGTGGGTGCGTATTCCAAAAGCAATTAGAAGAAAGGGACAACCAAAGGCTATAAAGCTTATAGTTTTATGGGCTATGAGCCAGGCTCAAAGAACTCACTAACAGAGACGAAATGATAGAAGGTGTTGAAGCTACAGGAACCTTGGGGGCAAGTGATCATGCAATATTGGAATTCAACATTATGCAAATACAAGTAGTAGAACAAAGTCAAACTAGAGTCTTGGACTTTAAGAGAGCTAATTTCAATAAACTTAGAGCTTGGGAAAGATTCCATGGATGATAATCCTCAAGAGGAAAACAACTCAAGAAACTTAGGAATTTTTGAAAAGTGCAATTATAAAAGCCCAGTCTAGCACAATACCAATGACGAAGAAAAATAACAGCTCTCAAAAGAAACCAGCATGGCTGCATAGAGAACTCTCGTAACAAATTGAAAGACAAAAAGGACAAGTATAAAAAGTGGAAAGAGGGTCACATAACTAAGGCAGAATATCAGCAAATAGTCCAAGCCTGCAAAGATGAAGTGAGGAAAGCTAAGGCTCACAATGAACAAAGGCTTGCGACAAAAGTAAAAAAATAACAAAAAAAGCTTCTTCCGACATGTTAAAAACAAGGAAAAAGTCAAGGAAACAATTGATCCATTGCTGGTAGAAAGTGGCAAGAAGGTGACAAGCAACAGGAAGAAAGCAGAGCTCACTTTTTCCATCTGTCTTTACACAAAGGGAAAAAAGAGTCCAACCTATCAAAAACAGCACCACAAAAAACAGACTAGGAACACAAGTTAAAATAGGGAAGAAAATAGTGAGTGCCTGTCTACCCTAGACGAGTTCAAATCACCAGGACCAGATGGACTACACTACAAGGTCCTGAAGGAACTGGCAGACGAGATCTCAGAACCACTGAACTATATCTTTCAAAGATCCTGGAGCACCAGGGAACTGCCGGAGGACTGGGAAAGAGCTGATGTAGTTCCCATCTTCAAAAAAGGGGGAAAAAATAGATCCAGGAAACTACAAACCTATCATCCTGACCTCAATACCAGAGAAGATTCTGGAAAAGATAATCAAGCAACGAATCAGTGAACACCTAGAAGGCAAACAAAGTAATAACCAAAAGCCAACATGGGTTTGTCAAAAACAGATCATGCTAATCTTATTGCATTCTTTGACAAAGTGACAAAATTAGTGGACTAGAGGAATGCTGTCGATATAATTTACTTGGACTTCAGTAAGGCATTTGATAAAGTAGACCATAACCTA